CCCTAAGATTGGGGCGGGGGGGAAGCAAACATCGAAGAACAGGCTTTCTGGCATCAAAATGGAATAAAACCAAAAGGTAGCTTTCAGCAGTCATGTGGCTCTTACCAAGAAAACCAAAGGCATCTCCTGAGACTGATTTTGCCTACAACACATGGGATGTGGGGACTGGAAGGCAGCATGATAATGGAGTCATCATGGTCAGGTGACAGCTACAGTGAAAGGTCAACAAAAAACAAAAGCAAGGTACATACAACCTCTTGGGGAAGACACTATGGAGCAGACCAACCACAGGACATGGAGTTCCTGATCTGGTTCTGCCACTACTCTATGTGACCTTGGCTAAGTGACATCTCTTATTGAATTTCCTTAACTACAAAAGCCAAAGTGAAAAGAAATCTTCTACAACTTACTTCCATTACTCCTTAGGTTTACAAGTCCTCTCCTTCCTTAAGCTGGACACACAGAGAGTCATCAAAATGAACCTGAGCTCAGTTATTCTTTGGACATTATCATGATCAATGCATTTCCTTTGCAATAAAGATGTGTCTACCACTAGAGTAACCAGATTAAATATGATCTATCCAGTTAAAATATGTATTCCATAAAAATAATTTTTAGGGCCTCCCCGGTGGCGCAGCGGTTGGGCGCTGGATTGCAAACCTGCCCGCAGCCTCTGCAGAGCCGGTTAGATTCGATTCCCGGCTGCTCCCCGGCCACTGGAGGAGGGTCGCACATGGCGTGTAGACCTCTCCTGCCGCCCACTGCTCCCCTCAGCAGTGTACTTCAGTCCTTCTGCCTGTTCTGCTCCCCACTCTGGCTCTGGTGAATTCTCTCACCCTCCCGCGCTTCTGACTGTACCCAGTGCTTGCATAAATAAATAAATAAATCTTTAAAAAAATAATAATAATAATTTTAGTACAAATATGTCCCAAATATTGCATAGAACAGAAGAAAAATATTATTCATTTGTTTATCCAAAATACAAAATTTTTTTACTTGCTAAATTTGGCACCATACCTCTAACCCCACATTAAAAGTTTAATTTTAAGACTCAGAGTCTGATTCTATATATGCGGGTAGTTCTCAGAGTGACTGATTCTCTAAATGGATGGCCTTCTCTAGAATAACACAGAGAGGTTAAAAAAAAATAAAGGAAAGGAATTAGAACTTTCAGCTTTCCTCTTGAATAAGCAGCAAAACATCAAATGCTACTAAGCAGAATATAATATATGAACGCTTGGAGACCTCAATCATACAAAAAGGAGCATGGTGTGCCCTCCGACTACACTGCCAGACAGGAGCAACACCAGCTGGAGGCTCACCCTGTCCCCTTAATTACAAAACCTTTATCTCTTCCTCCAGCTTCATGCACTCACGTCTGCTCTCAAGGTAATCAGTTTAAGGGAAACCAGATCATAAACTCAAACTTCCTGACCAAGAGGCAAAGGAATACACGTGATTCAAGCAAAATCTGCAGAAGGCAGAAAAAGCAAAAGGCAGGGAAAAGTGAAATGACCCTCTTGGAAAGGCAATCTTGTTTTACAATGGCAAGATGATCTTGCTTCTTAGGGTCTCACACTTTATTTTTTAACTTCAGCTTTACTGAGGTAAAGTGGACAGATAAAATGCTAAGAAATTCAAAGGGTACATGGTAGTGATTTGATATATTGTACATTGTGTGAAAGGATTCCCCCCGATCTGTAACAGCTAATTAGTTAAAGGTCACACTTTAAACATGCAAAACAAAACATGTTTTGTTTATCAGGAGGTATCAAACCTATTATAACTGATTAGAAATAGATATATGTCTATAAATGTAAAATAAACCTTTTTCATATTTTATCGTGAAGATCTATATAAGGCAAATTCCAAGATAAATTTAATAACAATGGAGGGAGGTTTGATTTTTAAAACAACATAAAAGGTTAATTATTATACTCTCTAGGCTGATTCTCACTGAAAAAGGACAGTTGAAAACCCTGTCAATACCACTCTCTCAACAGCAGCAAGACAAGGAGACAAGATACTTACAGCTACTGGCTAAGAAAATTAAATCCATGGACTAGAAGTTTGCAATTATAAAAATAAATCTGGGTTTAGTCATTAACTTATTGGTAATTCAATAGGAGCTTATTGCACAGTCCTTTCTTTTAAGATACCTTTAAGCATAAGACTCAAAAGTGGCCTGAAGTGTGTGTGTGTGTGTGTGTGTGTGTGTGTGCGCGCGCGCGTGGTGATGATGATGATGATGATGATGATGGTATTATAAATACTCTAAAGAAAAATGGCAAGGTAAGCCAACAGAAAATAATGGGAGGGATAAGGGATGCTTTAGATGGGATGGTTCAAAAAGGCTCCTCTACAGAAATGACTGTTGACCTGAGTGAATAAGAAAGTCCATGCAGATATTTGAACAAAAAACATCCAGGAAGTGCAAAGGTCCTGAGGTTTGGATGAAAGGCAGTAAGCAAAGGGAAGAGGGATAGACAATGAGGTCACACAACATGCAAGGAAAGGGCTTAGAGGCCATGATATTTTTCTTCTGAGGTAAAAAGCCATTGCAGAGTTTTGAGCAGAGAAGACAGCGTGGCATAACTGACTCTGGTGCTGTTAACAATAGAATGTAGAAAGCTGAGGCCTGAAGAAGGGAGGCCTTTGCAGGGGTCTTTTATAATAATCCAAGTAACAGAAATAATAGGAACTTGGCAAAGCGGTGGAGATGAAGAGAAATGGTTATTATCCTAGCTCTGTTCTCAAAGACCCAATGAGATTTGCTGAGGGATTAGAAGTGGAGAATCAAGGCTGACTCCAGGTGTTTAGCCTGAGCATCTGGAAGCCTGGAGTTGCTATTAACTGAGGTAGGGAAGAGTAAGGGAAAAGCAGGTTTGGGAGGAGAAAATAGGGGGCCTGGTTCCTAAAGATTATTGTCCACTTTAAAATCCTATGTCTGTTCTAAAACCAATGGAACAGAAGTTGAGAAGTCAATCCTAAATTTGCACCCGGAAATTTAAGGTGCCACAAACACTTTGTGAAAAATCACAAAGTGAAAAGACTCACTCTTTCCAATTTCAAAACTTAACTACATAGTTATAGTAAATAATACAGGCTGGTATACCATAAGAACAAAGAGATGAGTGGAATAGAATTGAAAGTCCAAAAATATACCCTCACATTTACAATCAACTGATTTTCAACAGAGGTGCCAAGATGACTCCAGGGGAGGGGGGTGGGGGACAAAATAGCCTTGTTAACAGTGCTCTGAGAACTGGATACCCTCATGCAAAAGCATGAAGTTGGATCCCTTACTTCACACCATACACAAAAATTAACTTAAAAGTGCATCAAAGATTGAAATGTAAGAGCTAAAACTATAAAATTCTCACAAGAAAACATAGATCTAAATCTTCATGACCTTAAATTTGGCAATGCTATCTTATATTTGACACCAAAATCACAAGAAAAAAAGGTTAATTATATTTCCTTAAAATTAAAAACCAAGTCTAGCCATGGAAATGACAGAGGAAGGTGGAAAGAAAGGAGGAAAGGGAAAAAGTAGGACTGAAAACCAATATAAAATACAGCAAAAATGATCCTCACTCAAATTCCTTCAGCATTATATTAACTTTTCTTCATTTCTAACCATGTGCAGAAACACTGTTTTCCAGAAAATGTTTTGCCCTTAAAACAAATTTTCAAGGAAGATAAAAACAAATTCAACCAGCAATAATTATAGAAAACTGATATGGCATAATAGTACACCCACCTCCCCACATCTGATTGGCCAACCAACAAAAAGGCAAAATCCATACAGGAAGAAAAATGCAGCTGTTAGCCCACAGCATTACCCACCAGGCCACTGTGGCAGAAGATTCTGAAGCTAAGTGGGCACAGGTGGTCTGAAGGAGCCAAAAAGCTCGGTAGACTAAGTGAAGAACTCACAAGATTTCCTTCATTTCAGGCCTAACTTTGCTTAACAGGTCATCTATTGGACCAGAGACAAGCCGGTGGCAAGTGTTACCAACGCCGGCCATCCCATTAGCCCTACCCTGCCTGGCAGCCTGTAGGGTAAGGTAAACGGTATCAGGCTTTTCTGCCCTCCCGCCATCAGGATAGATGAGGGAACCCTGTGATCCTGAATGCATGCCTGATGGCGGCACCTGGAGTGGGTACACCTGCGCTAAGACTGTGCTTTTAAGGGCAGTGTCACAGGGACGCCAGTAGAAGCCGAAAGAGAAGAAGCCCCAAGCAGAAGCAGAGAACGCCAGAGAGCCCAGATAGAGTGAGGATTTGCTGGGGGCTGGGAGGATTGCCAGCCTCCCAGCACCCCTGCCTGCCATAAGCCTGGTGAACCCCAATAAAAGACCTGCAAAAAACCACTGAGGACTCTGACTCCTCCTTTACCCGGTCTGCATGGGATCAGGAAACCTGCACTATGTCCATTCCTGCCCTTACACAGCCAAGTACAGTTTTCTGACTGACAGAAAAGGCGAAAACCCTCTGTCACCCACCCAGTCTGCCATCCAAACCCTCACAAATAAGGAGGTAAAGATATTAACTAATTCAATTGAAAACAACAAGGGGAGAGAAAGAATTAGGGGGACAGTGCAGGTGGCCTCAGTTAAGTTTCCTTCCGGATGGGGACCGTGGGACATAGTCCTGTCCCCGCGTGACACCAGGAGGCGACCTCAACCCGGTTCCCACCTAGGACTGAACCAACTCGGTACCTCACCCAAGATGATGCCCAAGCCCTGGCCCCCACCTGGTTGGTTATCATCGCGGGGTCTGTGGCGACTGCCCAGAAGCAAAGCAACTTTTCTGGCGGGCTCAGGGGCCCAGAAGCCCAGAAGCCGGGGAGAAAGCGCCCGAGCCCCACCCCAGCGCCAGCCCGGCCCCAGCCCGCCACCGCGCTCGGCGCTCGGAGTGAATCTAACCTGTCCCCCCAGAGGTGTGGGGAGGGGGTAGCGCGCGTTTGCCGGAACTCGCGCAGCTGCGGGGCTCACCTGGCTCGGCCCGGCTCCTCCCACTACTCTCTGTCTCTGCTTCCACCCGCTGCTGGCCTTTTTTGGGTGCTTGACGGGTGTTTTCCGTGTGGCCGCACATCACTTCCCGTAAAGGAGAGTGAGGTGGGGGCGGGACCTCCTCTCAACCCTCCACCTCCAGTTTCCTCCCGTCACCTCGGGGTGCACCCCCCGCCCGACTGGGCGAGGGCGCTTGCGGGCGCCCTGGGCGCGCAGGCTCCCAGTCCCGTCGTGAGTGCCCGGGAGTCCTCTCGGGAGACCCCAAAGTCACCCTCGCCTGGTTACCCCCGGCCGGGTCTTCATTGCCCTTTCCTGGAAGGCGTGAAGCCTTAGCTGTTTTCATTTTTTGAGACACAGGGGTGACATTTACAAGTTCCTCCAGGATCTGTGTGCTGCTAAGCATGATTCGCTGCTTCTTGCCAAATCTCCTCCCCCTAAAGCCATTTTCTGAAGGTGTTTTGCAGGACAACAGATGAGAGTCCCACGCAGTAGCCAGCAGCACTGAGGAGCTGCAAAGTTGGCCCTGTCCCGGGTACTTAGGCCCGGGAGGCTCCTGCTCCACGAGCCCTCGGGTCCAGCTCCTGGGGCCGGATCCACGTCTGCCACCGTCCAGCCGCCGCCACTCCGCACGCGGACTGACCTGGGCAGCGCCTTCCCCCGGCGAGGGAAGCTCGGGAGTCTAGGACGCGGCCACGGGGATGGGTGTGATGGGGAGGGCGAAATTCTGTCAGGAAATGCATACAGCAGTGTCGCCACTGGACTCTCTACTTCGGATTTTAAAATCCTGTGTGAAAGAGTGAACAATTCAGTTTAGAAAGGAGAGGGAGGGAGAGAGACAGACAGACAGACAGACAGACAGACAGACAGAGACGCGGCAGGGGAGAGAGAGAGGGAGAAGGAGAGAGAGAGGTCTTTGCTGCCCCCTAGTGGTGTCCTCTCAACGCCGGCAGCTGTTCTGTGGACCCGGGACTGTGAGGCTGATCACGCCCACCCAACAGGTTCCCCACAGAGGCATGGAACCAGGGATCTGAGCATTGGCCTTTGGGCTTGCCCCCTAGATGGTCAGGTAAAGCACCTCAGGTAAAGCAGAATAAAATGACTGGAAGCCCTAGTCCATTTGGGGAAGATTCTCATTATTTGCCCCATCTCACTGATCTGTGTGTCTCCACCACGAACTCACCTGTCCCAGACCCACCTCCCAATCCCACTGTGCTGGCAGTGTGTAGCTACTCACAGTTCACATCATAGTACAACTGACTTCTCAGATAGCTTTCCAATTTATAAAATCACTTACAGGATAAACCATATGAAATTACCAAATACTGAATATATATTCAATCTAAAATTTTCAGGCAAATAGAACATAGTGATCTCATACTTAAAAAGACAACAGATTTCATAGAGTGATGGTTTTAAGGGAGGTTCCCTGGATGAATAAGAACTATCAGTCTAGTTGGAGATTGCAGGGTAAATGGTTTTCAGGCTTTTCTGCCCTCCTGCCATCAGGATTGCCCTGCCTGATGGGGCACCTGCATTTTGTTACATTGTTATAGTTGTGTTACTTACTTCTGTGAGCCACCACTGCAGGATTGAGAGATTAGCCAAGAGAAGCAGAGGCAGGAGAAAGAACAGGAGAGAGAAGGGGAGAAAGAACACCAGGAGAAGCACAGAGTGAAAACTTGGGTGGGGTCAGGAGGCCCAGAGTGAAGACTTGCCCGCAGGCCTCCTGGCCCCCTGCCACACCTGCTGCCGTATATCTGGCTGCTGCACAACATGTAAAAAGCTCAATAAAAGCCTGAGAAAGCCACCCAGGGCTCCAGGACTCTCCTTTACCAGCTGCTTGAATCATAAAGAACCAGCTCTGTGGCCATTCTGCAACTACAAAGATTAAAAAAAAAAAAAAAAGGCATTCACCATGGTCAACGTAGACCAGTCTTAGGAGTAATAAACAGCTAAGAGCCAGGGAAACATCAATGCAGCAATTGGTAATGGCTGACTTGAAACAGAGAGAACCTTCCTTTGGCCCCCCGCCCCCATTCTCATAAGCAGATAGGTCTGTGATCAGGATATTACCAGACAATAGATCAGAAAACAGTGATGATGGGCTCATTCATTCATTCAGTGAGTTAACACTGCATTCAGTACTGGAGATGCAATCATGAACAAGATAAACTGCCCCCCTGCTCTCAGGGACCTTGATAGACCAACAAGTAAGCAGTTAACTCTGGTTGCAGTGAGATAAGAGAAGTTAAATGGTGGCGTTGAAACATAGGTAAGTGATACCAAATCAAGACTTCCCAGAGAAAGTTATAAATTACAAAGGATGAATAAGGTGGGAGGGTGAGGGAGGAAAGAATACTAGGAAAAGGGCCTCCCTGGTGGCGCAGGAGGTTAAGACATAACCTATGGAGCTATCCGCAGCCACTACAGTATGAATTCGATCCCCAGCCAGGGAGCTGCCCACATGGTGCAGCACACCTCTCCTGGCTAGACTGTAGCTCCCCTCAGCAGTGTATTTCAGTCAATCCACCTGTTCTGTTCTCCACTCTTGTCTCTGGTGAATCCTCTCACCCCTCAAACCTCTGGCCTGTATCCCAGTTCTTGTATGCATAAATAAATAAATCTTTTAAAAAAATACTAGGAAAAGAGCAAAAAGAAAGCTCCCTTTTGTCTTCAAGTTCAAGAAAGTTGATATTCATGGGAAGAAAGCAGTCAGAGAAGAAACTAGTGAAATAAGCAGAGGCTGGATTATGAAGAACCCTGGCATGATTATAATGTAATAGCTAGCATTTATTTACCATTTATTCTGGGCATATGCTAATTTAGCCAATCTGCTAAAAATTCTGCAGGTATCACTTCACTTACCGCTTATAATTTCCCTGAACCCACAGTACAGATAAGGAAACTGTGTCTCAAAGTGTTAAGCAACCTGATCAAGATCATTCAGTCAGCAAGTAGCACAGCCAGGATTAGAACTTGGAACTCATTTCCTTAATGGCTATTAGATCAAGAACAGAAATGAGCAATCAATAACATCAGACAGTGGCCATGAGGATGGAGGTGAATGGACGGATTTGAGATATTTATAAGAGTTTGAATGTTAAAAACTTGGTTGTAGGGGTGAGAGAGGGGGAAGGTATGGGTATGCCCAGGTTTCTAGTTTAGGAAACTGGGAACCATTGAGTAAAATTGAGTTAAAGGAAGTAGGTCCTATTGCAATAGGAAGGGATGGCAAAATAGATCATAATGAAGATGTTCAGTACATTTCAAGCTTAGCTTAACACCACCAGCAAAACATCCAGGTGAAACAGCTTAGTATGCAGTTGAATAGGTTGATCTGAAGCACAGGATATATGTACTGGAGGTATCACCCAAAAGGTACTCAAAGACATGAGAGTCAATGAGCTAGTCTAGAAAACATACCAAGAGGGCAAAAGCAGAACTTGGTATAGAGCCCAGAGAATCACTCAGCAATTAAAGTAATGACAGAGGAACTCTAAAACGGAATCTGAAAAAAGAATATCCACAGAGGAAGAAGGAAATTTATTACGCAAACCAAGAATATTGAACACACCTAGTGCGCCAATTCAAAACAGGAGAGAGTAGAGTACAAGGGACTATGGTGAAGGTTCACATAGTTGTGGGAATTTTATGGGGAATACATAATGATGCAAAAGATATAAATTAAAATAATAAATCATTTAAAAAATCCTCTTTATACTATTCTTACTCCAGCCACAGAATTGGTTGAAGCATACCCCCTGCTTACTATGCTGGGGCTTCAAATTGCAGCCTGCTGCTTAAAACATGCAGAATCCCAGCTTCAGGATCATTAATAGGATTGAAACTGATGTATATCAGTTCCATGATTTTTATTGTGCAGAAATAAAGTTGAATATAGACTTGTGTGTATGCAAGTATGTATGCATGTATTTTCCAGTTCTGTCTACTAAGAGGTCCTAGAAGCTTTACATCACAGTAACTATGAACATATTTAGCTCCTAAATCTTGATTTCTAAATAGTCTTTCCCAATAATAGGAGCCAAGGACATGATGATACAGTACCCATAAAATCAAATCCTTAAAGTCTACCATTAGAGCTAATAAATGAAATAAGCAAAAAAGGCAAGATACTAGACCCCCACACACAAATCATTTGTATGTGCACACATTAGCAATGAACAACCAAAAAAAGGAGATAAAGCAATTCCAGGCCTCCCCGGTGGCACAGCAGGTTGAGCACAGCGCTGTGAAGCTGTCCGCAGTCTCTGCAGCGTGGTTAAGATTCCCGGCCGGCCAGGGAGATCCCCACATGGCGAGGCAGACCTCTCCTGTCTCTTTCGCTGTTCCCCTCAGCAGTGTCTTCGGTCTGTCTGCCTGTTCTGCTCCCCACTGTCTCTGGTGAATTCTCTTACCCTCCCACACCTCTGGCCTGTACCCCCATGCTTGTATAAATAAATAATTTTTTTAATATTTTATTTTATATAACTTTTACATCATTTTTCTAAATAAATAAATCTTTAAAAAAAAAGCAATCCCATTTACAATAATATCAAAAAGAATACTGAAAAATAAACTAAGGAGGTATAGGACTAATACATTTTAAACTACAAAACACTTCTGAAATAAATTAAAGAAGACTTAAATAAATGAAAATATATTCCATATGCATGGGTTGGAAGGCACAGTATTGTAAAGATGGCAATACTCCCCAAAGCTGTCTACTGATTCAATGTAATCCCGATCAAAATCCCAACAGAATTTTTGCAGAATTGGAAAAGTTGATCTAAAATTCGTATGAAATTGCAACAGTGTGCTTTATAGTCAAAATAATCTTCAAAAACAACGTTGATGGACTCATACTTTCTGATTTCAAAATTTAATGCAAAGTCACAATAATCAAAACACAGTGGTTTTGACATAAGGATAAATATACAGATGAATAGAATGGACTTGAGAGATAAGAAATGAGACTATAAATCTATGGTTAAGTGATTTTCTGCAGGGGTGCCAAGATCGGTCAATGGAGGAAAGAATGGTCTCTTCAACAAAGGGTGTTAAGAGAACTAGATACTGACATATAAAAGCTGGACCCACACTTCATATCACGTAAAAATTAAAATAGATCAAAGGATCTAAATTCTAATTTTGGGGGGAAAAAGGAGTGCTCAAGAAATTACAGGGACATGTCAAAAGGATCCAGTCTGATAAAAGACTCTTCCTCAGTTAAGGATTTGTGTTAACTCATGCTATAAATATATTTTCATTTTAAGATACATTAGCAAAACTTTTTTCCAGAAATGCCCACCATGGATGTCAAAGTATATCCTTAAGTATTTGTACTTAGTTATAAATTGTTTTTGGAAGACTTGTTTTATGTTTGCTAAACAGAACATAATTTTTGGATAATTTTAAACACCACTTTTTGTACTTGAAAGAAGGGGAAAAAAAGCACAAAGGACACACAACCAGCTTGAAGGGGTTCCCACTGGCCAAATCTGGGATAATTTAAACAACAAAATAAATAGTGATTGTCAAGGCAGGCTTCAGAGGCATGCACGTAGAATAGCATACACAGGGCACTGCACTTAGACTCTTAAGCTCTTCTGTTACCATCTTGAAATTCTTAACAATTTTATCCTGGAGTTTGTGTCTTACAGGAAAGTCTGATGCTACATGGAACATGCCAGATGGAACATACCTAGGGCTTTGAGCCTCTGCGCACATATGGCTTTGACCCCTGCCACTGCCAACTTTGCACCCTCTGGTCTCCTGAGCTCTGCCTTGCTCCAAGACAATGACTGGGTCACCTTGGCTGGAGAGGCCTACATTCTGCCAACACCTTCCACCTATGTAAGAGCCTGGGCATGGGTCCAAAAGATGTCAGGGTTGGACACCTTTTCTCTAAATCATTTCAAAATATAATTATTTTGAACTATATTTCAAAATATAATTAAAAAATCTTTTAAAATCCTCTTCAGAAAATGTCGCAGGACCAAGTCTAGTGGTCCACTTGAAAAGTTATCATGTCTGGTCTTTCCCTCTTTAACTTTTCATTTTTCCTGTTCTGCCAGATCTTAGGGTTAGAATGATTTGTGATGAGACTGTAGAAACCACTACCTGACTGTGCTACCTGGGAAGTCCCTGATGATACTCCTTTCACTGAGGCACTGAGGAAGAGAGAACTGCATTGGTGAGGCCACTCACATCTCTGAACATTCCTTTCTGGGCTAAGATTGACAGTAGAAGATGCTGCTACAACAGGGCTCCCTGATATCAATAAGAAACAAAAAGAACCCCCAGGTGGCAAAGGATAAATGTCAGGACATTACTACTGAACAGATCTACTCCAAAACTAGTATTCCTATATAATCTTGGTAAATCAAAATTTGGATAAAGCACAGAAACAATTACTATTATTTTATATAGGAAAAATTTAGACCCTTCCCAGATCCAAAAAAATAACCCACCAAATCATAGCAAATAGCACATAAAACCTAAAATAATACTAATATATAGTAAAAGCAGGAATGACATGATACGTACACAGCCTGTAGAAAATAGTTCCAAGGAAGAAGCTTGGCAGTGACACTCTTGTTCAGGGTGCAGTTGCCTCTAGGTTGGCTGCTACAAACGTGCTGAAAGCTGTTTTCACTTTTCACCTTTTGTCAGAAAGTAAAAATCCTCCTTAGACTTCTTTTGGTTATCAGAAACAGGTAATCATGTAGATCTTTCATAAAAGAGGTATAATCTGAACTTTCAAAAAGCAGGGGCTGCCTGTAATAGAAAGCAAGGAATGTAACCAAGGTGTGTTGATCCACAGGGATCTGTGGTGATGGCTTTTTTTTTTTTCTTTTCTCCCAGGAAAATCAAGAACTAGTGAGCAAAAGGCTGTGCTAGTCTCCGTATCGAAAATGGCCTCTCACCAGTTTTCTAATTAAAGTCATTGTTTGAACTTAGAGCAAAGAATTGAAGGGGTCCTAACCTCTTGTGAAAAGACTCTTCAATGTCCCAAGATTCTACAATAAGGATAAATGTCCACTGGAACAAAAGAAATACTCCAGACTTTTATGACTGCTGGATACAGCATCTGAGCTGACAAGGAATGTTGTATTGTTCAAGGAATGTTGTACTGCCACCATGGTCCTTCAGTTAGAGTAGAACTTATGGAGATTAAAGGAGATATACAAATTTGACCCAAATTAGTCCTAAATGGCCCATTCTCTAGCCTCCCCCTCCCTAGTCTGAGTGAAATAAATATATACTCAGTAGCTGGCAGAGACCTCACATTGATCCTGAATTAAGGGCTCTGTCTTAATCTGCTCAGGCTATTACAACCGAATGCTATAAAGCAGGTGGTTTAAGCAAAAGACATTTCTCTCTCACCGATTTGAAACCTGAAGAGTCCAAGATCAAGGAGCCAGCAGATTTGAGGTGTAAAGTTCCTCTTCCTGGTTTACAGATGCCACTTTCTTGCTGTATCCCACATGGCTGATAAAGAACATCTCTCCTACCTTTTTAAGGGCACTAATCCTATTCTTAAAGTCTCTGCCCCCCTCCCCAAAGGCTCCACCTCCAAATATCACATTAGGTATTTGGACTTCAACATATGAAGGGTGTGGGAGGGAAGGTATGTACACAAACATTCCATCCACGCCAAATCCTCATTGTACAAAGTCCCTGAATCTGCTTTCCCTGGCTAAGGCAGAAAATTAGAAGTAATTCATGCAGAATGCCATCTTCAAAGATTTAGGGATGGGAGTCTCTGTATCCCCATGCAGTTCAGCTCTCTGGGCCTTGCAATGCTACTGTACACAAAACAATGATTAAAATAGTAAATTTTGTTACATATATTTTACCACAGACACACACCCACCCAAAGGCCCGCCACACACAAATGGATTGTGACATAAAACAATGAACTTCCTCAATTGTAGCTGCGGTTCTGGATGCACTTTCTTTTTTAATGCTAGTTTTATTGAGATATAACTTTCACACAATGAAGTCCATCCTTTCAAAATGTAAATTCAGTAGTTTTTCATGTGTTTATGTGTTCAGCACCACCTTGTTCTAGAACATTTTCATTACCTAAATGTAATGAAAGTCCCTAAGAGCTGCTAATATTTTGTCTCTATATACTTGCCTACTCTGGACATGTCATAGAAATGGAATCACACAATATGACATCTTATGTCCAGTTTCTCTCATGTTTTCAAAGTTTATACAGTTGTAGCATGGCCAGGGAGGTGACCCACATGGTCCACAGACCTCTCCTGTCTCGCCTGCTGCTCCACTCAGCAATGTATTTCAGTCATTCCACCTGTTCTGCTCCCCACTCTGTCTCTGGTGAATCCTCTCACCCTCTGCATCTCTGGCATGTACCCCAGTTCTTGTATGTATAAATAAATACATCTTTAAAAAAAGAGGGGGAAATCAAAGTAGTTCAAATTAACTAAATGTTGTACAGGATTATCATTTCTTGAATATAAAAGGATTACTTATTCCTGCCCATTGTTATGTGACTTCACTGTGCATCTTAAAGCCAACTGAACATGAGAAGTGACATTTGCCAACACTGAGCAAAAGCTTCAATTCCAAGTTCCCTCAATTTCTTTCTCCTTTTTACTCTGTCATATTCCAGATAGGAGCTGCTCATTGAACCTGGGTCCCACAATGTGAAGACTCATCGTACACAACCCTAGTCTACCTGGAGCCAATCGAACTAACACTATGATACAGATACTGGGTACCTGAATTTTACACACATACACACACACACTTTATATATATACACACACACACACACACACAGAGAGAGATATATACACATGTATGTATATATAGTACATTGAAGAAAAATGGTCTTAAAAGCTCACATTAAACTGGTGCTAATCAAATCGATGTCCATTTTGCCCATTTTTGTATTGTTTGTATTTTTAAATAAACATTACTACTTTTGTCGTTTTTTCTAAATTATTCATCCTGGTCTCCATTTAACATAGATAGTTGGAATTAAGTTATAATGAATTTGCATTCAAGAAAAAGAAATCAATAAATTAAAATGATTTAAAGCATTTTGCAAAGGTAATTACATTTATAGCTGCCTTTGAAAATATAAATATTGTTAGGGTAAAAAAAATCAACTTTTTAGCAATTTCAAAAAACCTTTAACTATGTTTCATAACAAAGTAATTCCTTTCTTAGAACCATTATTAATGCAAATTTGCTTGGTGAGCTAAACATGTCTGTGTCATATCTGCCACTTTGACAACATCATCTACCCGCTCCAAAACTTCAAATTGATCTAAACCACTTCAATTTGCAATTTACTTCTCCATTCTCCCTGGGAAAAGAAAGGGTCAGGGTTGAAAGACTGGTGACAAACACTGTTAAAACAGACAAACTACAAGTTAATTGACAGGTATTCTGCCTGAGGTGGTTAACTTGGTTGACTTTATCTATAAACATACTGTTAACATCATTTCCAGCTATTTTATAAATAATCCAGACTGTACCCTATGATACTAAATATACTGCATTTCCAGAAAAATAAGACTCAATAGGAAACAAAATATTCCTTAAGACACTCATTTCTGTTTAAAAGGAAATCACTAATTTCTCCTGATGAAAAGACAAAGTGGCATATAAAGTACAATAAACATTAAAACTGACAGTGCTAATTTCAAGAATCATTTAAAATCATTATGATTTATTTTAAAATACATTTGAGAAATTTTCTACTAGATTATTTACAGTTAAGTATAATTAGAACGGAACTTCAATTCCATTTTTACAGTTCAGCAATATGTAGCATTAACTTCTCTTTTCTTCTGATTCTTGTGCCAACTCCAGCTTTTCTTTTAATTTCTTCTGCTCTCTGGCATACTGTTCAAATATTGGTTGATAAATATATATTCCTCCGGCAATTCCAAGGATGCTAGCAAAAAGCAGTTGAGGAAAACTCACTCTCCCAAACATTTTTTTCAACAAATACCACACAATGTAAAAAGATGGTTTTGCAAAATTATATTCAACATCCAGTAAATTTCTTCATATCTGTGTACAAAAAAAAGGGAAACAAAGCAGCAACTCAGCAACTATCCTTTCTGTAAGATTTCATGTCATTACTTTGCTCCACAGTGAACAAGCTTTGTAGCAATAATATGCAAACAGCACTTAATGTTTTAACTAAAGTAGTAATGTAATTTATATGGGGAGTATGGGAAATTAGGGGTAGAGGATGTAAGACAAAACTAAATCCTCTCCTACTATAGACTGTTCTCGATGATTTTAAATGATAATTTTTAAAAGGGCAAAAGTGAGGAGGGAGAGGCACCTTCATGCCTTTGAAGGAGTACCATAAAACCAACTAAAAAAATAATTGAAAGTGTATGCCAATATTATATGGAAGTAGAAAACAATCATTAGTGCTTCTGTACTCCTTAATTTTTTTGACAATACATAGATAAGATGCAACCTATGAAGCTATTTATAGCCACTGCAGCACGAGTTCAATCCCAGCCAGGGAGCTACCTACATGGCACAGAAGACCTCTCCTGACTCTTCCACTATGCCCCTCAGCAGTGTATTTCAGTTGATCTGCATGTTCTGTTCCCCACTCTGTCTCTGGTGAATCCTCTCACCCCCCCCAACTCTGGCCTGTACCCCAGTTCTTCTATGCATAAATAAATATATCTTTAAAAAAACATAAGCTAAAAGATTTTGAATTTTTTTGATAATATACAAGGTACAATCAGACATTAAATATGTAACATTTGCTATCTATTTTTGCCAAAAATATAATGGGGATTTTGGCTGGTTTTAATTGAATAGTTAAAACTCCAGTACTTAGTTATATTACTGTCCAACACCCTAGTCTGGAAAAACTAGGTAGATGTTTATGAATGAGGTAAGCAGAGCGAAGGATTTACATATTTTCTTCATGTTAATATCTCACGACTTTCTATATCAGCCAGAGATCACAAAAACCATTACTAGCACAACTGGTACTAGAAACTAGGTTGTCCTTCCTTAGGGCTCAAATGTAATTTAAACTACTCTGGGGAAGAAAAGGCTGTTTTCTCCTACATCTACAGTTAACCAGATAAATGACAAATTCACCAAGCAAGACTTGGTTCAACAACTACTGTTAAGATTTTTTGGGTTTTGTCTTCATTTAAAAAAAAAAAAAGGAAAGGAAAGGATGACTCCCTCCTGGCTCACAGGGGTTAAAGTCTCAGCGGTATCATGCTATCCCGGCCACTGAGACCTGAGTGCCACCCCTGCCAAGGAGCTACCCACATGGCGCGGCAGACCTCTCCTGTCTCACCTGCTGCTCCCCTCAGCAGTGTATTTCAGTCAATCCACCTGTTCTCCCCACTCTGTCTCTGGTGAATCCTCTCACCACCCCAACACCTCCGCCCCCGCCCCTAGACCTCCAGTTCTTGTATGCATAAATAAACATATTTTTTTAAGTAAAAAATGAGCTATTTGCAAGTCAGTTCTTTGGAAAATAATGAAGCCACAGGGAAATAGGAAAGCAGCTTCCCCTTCTGCCCACAACTAAGTAACCCAGAATTAACCTTTTGGAACCTTATTTTCCACATTTGTACAGCAGGCCACAAACAGTGTGAGATCACCCAAACGGTGAGACGTTTATAAATTAACGTTTATAATTATAAACACACGTTTATAGTTATCACCACTATCACCATTACCGCTGGGCCCCTTTAGCTCCCGCACCGCGCAGCGGACCCCGCCTCCTGGCTGCACAGGCAGAGGTAAAAGCCGGCTCCTTCTAAGTTTCCGGACTCCCGGGCTCAGAGCCCGCGAAGTCAAGGGCTGGCAGCGGCCTCGCGAAAAGCAACCCCGAAGGGCGAGGGCAGGCGACACCCCAAGCAACGCGTCTCAGCGCAGCTGCCCGCGCCGCGGCCGCGGAGTCTACGTCAGGGCTGAGCGCGGAGACCTGCCCTTCCCGGCTTCCCCCGCGCCTGCGGCGACGGCTGCCCGCACAGGCCAAACTTAGCGCGGAAGCGCGGCCGCGGCTCGCGAGCCTCCGCTCAGGGACCGAGCCGCGGCAGAACCTTAGCGGACCGCCGAGCAGACGCAGGATGGAGCGAGATGGCAACCTCTTTTTCCGCGGTCTGCAGAGCCGCTCCGACGAGAAAATGAAGCTGCGAAAGAGAAAGTCGACCTTATACCAGAAGAGCACCTGGCACCGCGGAGGTGAGGGAGGGAAGCCGAGTCCTCAGGCAGGGCTCCCCTCTGCTGGGGGGTGCGCGTGGGGCCGGGGGCCAAGAAATCGCAGCGGGCTCGAGGCAAGGTCTTGATCTCAGCCAGTTTACTGGCGCTGTGTTCTGCATTGCTTTTATGACACCCTCCCCGTAGCCTTGTGAGTGGGTATGATCATTACCATTTTAGAGAGGGGGGCTTCCAGGCCAGGAGTTACCAAGGTTTCCAAGCGATGGGGTGTCTGGTTTCTAGAATGGCACTAACCCTGACTCCCGCCCCATTTCTTTTTTTCTGCCGCCACCTCTGCCTTCTCTTTGGACTGGGTAACAGCCACCACAGGAAGTGACGTTTTTGGGGGGTGTCTGTAGGGGTGTGTGTGGGTGTGTGTGTGTGTGTGTGTGTGTGTGTGTGTGTGTAGGGGTGTTAATATAAAGATGAACTCATTATGTGCCAGGTAGGATGCAGGCTGTATGAAGAAAAAAAATCCGTAGTTCACCTTCTGGAAACCTGAGACCAAGAAAAGGAAGGACCATTTTGCTAAATAAAAAGTGAGGAAGGGGAGCTTTTGGGGAACTTTTAGTAGTTGGGCGGGAGCTCTCTTGCTCCCTAACTCACCCCTTGTTGGATCCCTATCCTAGTGAAAGATACTAACGTTGGTAGATTACCATACTTGTAACAAACGTACAGTTGAAATTAGGTATTCAAGATCTGTTGTTCAAGGGTTAGTTCTGAATACTGTTTCTTCTACCTGAATCCACAGCGGGGTGGGACTGGGGCTGAGAACAAGATTTTCTGATGGGTGATACTGTTCAGTAGGGAGGGTAGTGTCAGTATTTCTGGAAGATGAAAGCTCTAAAGGGGCACGCATGTTGTGTTGAATATACTAATTATCTGAGAAACACTTAAAATGTGTTCTTGTACAATGAGGAACAAGTGTGGCAGGAACCCAGAAAAATAGTGGATCAGAGGCTGGTTGTAAAATGAAATACTCAGGTCAGTCAGGGAAGACTAAGTAAATCAAAGTAATCCTGTATTTCAGTACCAATCAGTTGTTTCCAATTGAGCTGTTTGTTGCAGGTCCTAGTTTTGAAATACTGCAATACCTATTTTTTTAAAATCTGATTTTTAATTGTTGGCAACTAAATTCAAATTTTTAAGAAGTGCTCTGTATACAAGCCTGCAGTATCCATTTGTAGTTAAGAACAGACCTTTAGGGCCTCCCTGGTGGCGTAAGGGGTTGAGTGCAGCACTGTGAAGCTGTCCAGCACGGTGAAGCTGTCCACAGCCAGCATCTGCCGTGCGAGTTCGATCCCCCTGCCGGCCTGGGAGCTGACCCACATGGCGCAGCAGACCTCTCCTGTCTCGCCTGCTGCTCCACTCAGCAGTGTATTTCCGTCAGTTTGCCTGTTCTGTTCCCCACGCTGTCTCTGGTGAATCCTCTCATGCCCCACACCTCTGGCATGTACCCTAGTTCTTCTATAAATAAATCTTTAAAAAATATTAAAAAAAAAAAAAAAAAGACCTTTAGAGTCAGTAGACAGCCCTGGTTTTGAGCCCTGACTTTAAGCCCCACCTTTTTGACTTGGGCCATGTGATTTAACTTCTGAGTCAATGTATACTCTATATGTAAAACGGGGCAAATAATACCTATCCTTTAGCGTTATTTTGAGGACTAAATAATATAAAGGAATGAACCCAGTGCCTGGTATTGAGTTAGCATCAATAAGAGCTATTCTCAGATGTAGAGGACCATTTTATGTGTCAGTTTGTCATATATAGAGTTGCTTCCTCAGTAATTTGTTAACTGGTTTCTTTTAATACACATGGAAACCTAAAGTCTTAGTCACTCCAATCTTTTTCAGCATTGTAATATTCTCCTTATACAATAAGTTGGAAGACTGGTTAAATTAAGTAACTAATAATCACCCAGTGAAGTTCTGGCCCTTATGTAACTTTTGGCCCAGGTGGGCTTGGAAGGGTGGTGTGATGGGGCAGAGTTCCCCACTATGCGTAACAGTGCCTGCGAGAGGGACAACCAAAACAGCAGATTTTAGTTCCACATGTGGAATCTGCCTGACTTTTTGTACCAGTTACCTGTTTTGTTTTGTTTTTCAGATCTTCTTGGTGAAAACATTTATCTAGTCTTGTTTACCATAGCATTACGAATATGTAACTGCTTTTTAGTCCAGACGAGTTTCGTTCCAGATGAATATTGGCAGTCTCTTGAAGTTGCACATCACATGGTTTTCAAATATCCTTTGTAGTTGTCTTTCAGACTAGGAATATGTTTTCATCTTAGAAACTGTGTTCATTTTATTACATATTTTCAATCAGTTAACCATATTTTCTACAAATAATTTTAGTAAAGTATGCCATTATTTTATCTTAATATTTCTTTTTTCTTTGATGTTAATGTACTTGAACAATCTCTAACTAGTGCTCAGTAATTTGGAGGATATAGATGAAGACAAAACACATTTCTACCTTAAAGATTCATTTGACCAAATGCATTTTTAATTCAAATATCCAGTATAAAATACCATTTTATACCGCTTTGCCAAGAAATAAAAGTTTACATATGGAAATGAAAACAGATTTTGTTCAATATTACTTAACATTAGTCCTTAATGTTAGTACTTATGGTTATTTGACCTGGGAATGGACAGAAAAAATAAGGGGTTACACTTACCCTTTAATCTTTGCAAGCATTTACAAGGTTCTGCATCTTGTGGGGAAAGATAGTGTTCAATTGCTGGTAAGTTTAAATAAAAATAATCAAAATAATTGCTATTTCATCTCTTTTTAAAAGCTAATGTATATTAACTAAATATTATTGGTATCATGAAGTTAGTTTTTAAAAGACTACTGCTGCTAAACACTGACCTCTGGAAAGCCCATGGTCCCAAAGATAAACTGTGATGTATAAATCTTCAATATGTGTTAAAACACAAGCCTGTGCCTGGAACGTTAAGTGTTCTATGTGTTAAGAAATGCAAATTTTCAATTTTTGGAATGACCACATTATATATTATTTGAACTTTAGAAGAAGAGTATTTCCCCCACAAACAAAAAGACAAAAAAAGAGAATATTTCCCTCATAAAAGAATCACTTAAGAGTTGTGTTGTACCTTATTTTTACAACTTGTGAATGAAAGGCCATGTTATATGAGCTCATGAAGACTAAATACTAAATACATGAGGATTTAGTGTTGAAATTAAAATTTAGAAAAAATTGACAAAAATTTAATTGCTGTGCTATGTAGGAATTTTGCATTAATATTAAGCAAGGCTGTGACTCCTAAATTATGAATTTCTACGGCCCCTGGATCACCTAGAGAGGACACAAAGGAGGAACTAAAAGTGTGCAAGTTTCTCTACCCTCACTTTCAAAATATTATCCAAATGGACTGAGAGATTGGGTCTCCTTCATTTCCTGTACAGTCCTGGTGTTTTGGTTTGATGTTTGTTGTTTGTTTATCTATGTCTGTCTGTTTGTAATCTGGAAAGACACTAAGTTTCTGGGATAATTTCTCTATGTAGGATTGTACTCTCCCCATTCCTCAGTGCTATGAACACTATTTTCCCCTCTCAGGGTTACCCACTGCCTTCTAGATTATGCAAGATATCCATAAAGTCTAGAACCATGGGCAAATATACATAATGTCATCAAGGATGATTTTATATCCCAAGAAGTAGATTATATTATGAAGAATTCTTCAAGAGAGAAAAACTTTCTATTCTTCCAAGACCCATCTACAGCTGATATACCTGGCCATTTTGGGACTTAAAGGAAACCTCGCCTTGTCCCCACGATCCCCCAAAACCTCTGTCCTGCCTGGAATTTCACCACATAGGAAAACATTAGGATGCTATCAGACATTTATTCATGCTCGCATACTGATAATTTTAAACATAATTTATATAATTGTGAAACTAAATGGGATCAGAAAAGTGAAATAAATAAAACAAGGTCACAGCATATTAAAGGCAGAGCTAAAACTAGGCCCTGGGTCTACTTTCATAGCCTAGTACTCTTTCCAAATAGCTTTTCTCTCAATTACATAAGGTATGTCCACAGAATTAAGGATGGCTAAGAGCTGTGCTGTCCAACATAGTAGACACAAGCCACATATGGCTAGTAAAATACATACTGGATATCAAAGATCTAGGATGTAAATTTTTTCTATAAATTCTAATATTGAAATGACAATATTTTAGATTAGGGGAAAAAATTAAAATTTTACTTGGGGATTTTTTTTTTACTTTTTAATTTGGCTACTATAAAATTTAAAATTACACATGTGACTTGCATTATACATCTACTAGACAGGAGAAGAATAGTGTCTAATTTTATTCTAAGACATTAAATTGATAGTTCATTTGATTAGCCTGTTGTTTTTTTATATTCATTGTGAACCAATAGATGTTATTAATATTGTCTTCTTTTTTTTTTTAAATGACGAAGATTTGGATTCCTAGACTTGCCCAAGCACTTCTGTCTGCTGTAGCAGACATAAGGCTTTACTCATTAATGAAGCAATTAGAGAATCAGCAATTGGCAAGATGGGTGGTAAGTCCTACACATTTTAAAACTATACACCAGTCACTTTGTTGTTGGGGACATTGAAACATATGAAAAACATCAATTTCCAAAACAGCTTCCGAAGATAATTCATACAACTTTATAGAAATACTTCCATAATTAAGAACAATAAAATTCAAGTGGTGCATGTCATCTCTCACATTCTGAGTGAACCACAGGTGATAAAAAGCACTGATGCCCTCTAACACCATCAGAGGCTTAAGTCTAAGAAACAGATTTTGGGAAGCACCTTCTCTTTTCAAAATCATCAGTTTTTGCCTCACTTTCCATAAAATTCAGTAGCAGTTCGAAATCAATTGCCTATCTCACAAATGATGTCAGCTGGTTTTAAGCCTTGTTCACTCTTCCTTCAGCTACCAGAACCTTAGCCTGAGAACCTTTGCACCTCTGGCTAGAATATTAGAAGTAGCTGAGCTCTGTAAGAGAGAAAGTGAGGTATAGAAAATTATCTTTTGCCTTTTTGCTTATTTCACAGTGGATAGATTCCTGATCTCCCATTCAAATATTGAATGGATTTTCCCACCTAAGCCATAACCTGAGAAGTGACTGGATTCTGTAGTATTATGGTTACTTCACACAGTTTCTTAAATTCGATAAACTTATATGAGCCAGCTTAGAAATCTTACAACCTGTTTTTATATTGTTTCAATTGGAAAATGTTACAAATTCCAAGTAGCTAATTTGCCAACACATTTCTGACATATAATTTATTAATTAAATATTAAGTTTATTAACAGGACATTTCTGCAAGTATTTTAAAAATTCAGTGGTTTAAAGACTAAGTCCTTGCTTTAATTGATTCAAAGTCACTTGCTTTATTTTGTATTTATATACACTGCTGAGAGCTCAACCTAAAATGGCAAAAGCATAATGCCTTTGAAATCCTCCCTCCAAGGTAGCAGTGCACACTAGGTTCTTCTAGATTACAAAAAGCCTTTAACTCCCAAAAATTGGGAACATTTTTAAGGCTATATTTGGGGACAGGAAGCTAATACCACAAATTTATTTTTTTTAATTAATTTTTTATTATTTTTTAATAGAGGCATGTTTTATTTATTTATTTGTTTGTTTGTTTGTTTGTTTATACATGCACTGGGTACAGTCAGAAGCGTAGGAGGGTGAGAGAATTCACCAGAGCCAGAGCGGGGAGCAGAGCAGGCAGAAGGACCGAAGTACACTGCTGAGGGGAGCAGCGGGCGGCAGGAGAGGTCTGCGCGCCATGTGGGACCCTCCTCTGGTGGCCAGGGAGCAGCCGGGCAGGTTCGCAACCCAGAGCTCAACCGCTGCGCCACTGGGGAGGCCCTAATACCACAAATTTAACACCCTTTAAGACATTTGTTTTGTAGAATAAATGATGCTTCTGTTTGCATATTATTACAAAACCTGGTTTATTAGTCTAGTTTTCTAAATTAAATAATTAATGATACCTTCTGATAGTTATTTCTTCCTGTGTTCTTAATTTTTTAATCAAAAATAGGATAATATTCCAGTCCAAGGTCAAAAAAAACCCAGTCAAAATACTTGTCAGTATTAGACAATTTGCGGAATACTGGTTAGGAAAATTATGAATTGAATTCTCTATAAACTCTAGCATAAAAAAATCTGTTCATTAAAGAGTGAATAAATGCTATTGTGAAGTTATTTTGAAGATAAGAATGTACAGTTATAATCTATCTTTTCCTATAAATGTTTGAAAAAGCATCATAGTATGATCAATATCACCTTTATCCTTAAAAATAAATCTGTATCTTGGGCCTCCCTGGTGGTGCAGCGATTGAGCGCTGGGTTGCGAAGCTGCCCGCAGCCTCTGCAGTGCCGGTTCGATCCCCGGCCACTGGAGGAGGGTCCCACATGGCGCGCAGACCTCTCCTGCTGCCCGCTGCTCCCCTCAGCAGTGTACTTCGGTCCTTCTGCCAGCTCTGCTCCCTGCTCTGGCTCTGGTGAATTCTCTCACCCTCCCACGCTTCTGACTGTACCCCAGTGCTTGTATAAATAAATAAACAAATCTTTAAAAAAAAAAAACTATCTTTTCTTAATAAAAATTACGATTTAAGTGAAGCACAGTACCATAAAAAAATACCTGAAAGGTATGAGTTGCTTAATTTTAACAAATAACAATCTGATATCATAGACCAGTGTTTGATATAACTTCTTATAAACAATGTTTGAGCATGCCTGCTTTTAATATCATTTACCTTTTGGTTTGAATTTTGCAAGAAAACTTGGTTGCTGTTTTCCATAGAAGGTTTTACTAAACCTTTCCCCTTCCCACTCCATCTGTATGTTTGCTCATAATTGTTTTTAGTTTTTTTGCCAGTTATGCTCTTGGTTCACATGGTATTGCTGTACCAGAACTCTTACAAACACCATGGAAACTGTTCTCACTATAATTGCTCTTTTCTACTACCCTTTGGAAGGTTCAAAGTCTATGAGCAGGTGAGTTTAACTACTGTTAATAACAATGTACAAAACTTGAAAGCATGTTTTTGAAAAATAATATCAGCACATTGGTATCTCTCTGCCTGGCGTTCATACAATAAACAGATATAATCAAACTGGGTAACTTAGGAGAATTTAATAAAAGTACTGGTTACAAAGGTGAAATCAATGCTTAGAAAAGCCAATAGGGGGATACCATAGTACCCCAAGGCTGGCCACAACAGGAAGTTTTCATTATCCTTTGGAGCAAGGAAAAGAAATGGCTACCACATACAGAGCTGTAATTTTAAGAGAAGGTCTCTGCAAGAGAGGGCTATTAGCCATAGTAGAAAGAACATCAGGGGAATAAAATATGCTGACTCAAAGCTTCTGCCCTCCAGTTGGCCAAAGCCAATCATAAGCCAGAAAGCGGTACAGTACATAGGTACAGACCATACAGTTCAGCGTTCCTATACATAGAGCAGGTGAAGAGTAGAAGAGAATTGATCTAGAAAGGCAAAATGGGAATATATGGACCTGATTTGGGTTAATATAAACTGGGGAAGCAAATACCAAGCAAAGGGGATAACATGAGTAATGCACAGCTATAAAAGGGCTTCAGTGTATTCTGTGCACAGAATACAAGTTACCAGAGTAGCTAGTGTACGGCAGGATACATGTGAGAAGAAAAGGGATAAGGAATGGGATTTTGCCTGTCTTCAGATTTTGGACTTTATTCTATAGATAGTAAGGAACCATTGGAGGCTTTTGATAAGCATGACATAATCAAACTTGATTTAGAAAGAATTCTCTTGTAGTAGCAGTATTTAGGATACACAAAGGGAGAAAATCAAAATGATTTCGAGTGAAGGAAGCTAGTATACACCCTCATATTAAAAAACATTTTAAGAACCAAATAAAGGGCCTCCCTGGTGGCCTAGAGGTTAAGTCTCAGCACTATCACTGCTGCGGCCTGAGTTCCATCCCTGCCCAGGGAGCTGACCCACATGTGGTACAGCAGACCTTTCTTGTCTTGCCTACTGTTCCCCTTAGCAGTGTAATTTATTAGATCCGTCTGTTCCGCTCCCACTTTGTCTTGGTGAATCCTCTCACCACTGCCACCCCCTCACCTTTGGCCTATACCCCAGATCATTTCTACACTATATTCTTGGCTGTAAGAATAGGCATTTAGGGCCAGCAGCACTATTTACAATAGCTAAGCTTTGGAAACAGCCCAAATGCCCAAAAATAGATGACTGGATCAAGAAGATGTGGTACATATATACCATGGAATATTACTCAGCATTCAAAAAAGATAAACACATGCAATTTGCAGCAACATGGATGGCGCTGGAAGGGATCATGCTCAGCGAAATAAGCCAAAAAGGAAAAGAAAAATACCGGATGGTCTCACTCATAGCAGGAATCTAGAAAACTTAAATAAGGGACCAGGAAAATGAATATAAGAAAGTGAAAATCAAAATCAACAAAAAACTATGAACCAGAGACACTTTTTGGGGGGTGGGGGCCGGAAGGGGAGGGATTGGGGTCAGAATGGGGCATTTGCAATTGTATGGGGGAATATAAAAATAAAATTTATTATTAAAAAAAAAAATAGGCATTTAAAATTTTCTATACAATAAGGACTTTACTATAAGGCTAAAAGTGGAAATAAGGAAAATGGGCATCTTAGCTTTGTGGCCTGGCCTGAAAGATAACTACAAATATCTAAGCTACGTAAATAAATGGGAAGATTTTGCAGAATCCAAGCCAGTTTTGAGAAATAGGTTTTTTTTTTTTTTTTGTACATTTATAGTCTGGTCTGTGAATCCATTTTAAAAGTCATCTATTATTTTGACGGTGCCAATTGTCCAACATTCAATTTTAGATAACCTGATTTAGGCCTGTTAAATGTCATTGTCCCTATTTGGGAATAGCTTTCACACTGACCAGCTTTATACTGCCTACCAGCGCTCAGATACCCTCCTCTGATTCAATCAGGAAGGGAAGGTCATATGGGATAAATACCCACCTCTATAAGCATTCTTCCCTAGATTTCCACATAAGCACTACTCCTGATCTGACAATAAATGACACTTTGCAAACTCAAAAAAAAAAATGATGAAAGCATTAAAATTTACAGATGTAAGGATGGTATGAAAATATCTAAGCACTGATTTCTCTAAAATGAGAATAAAACCATTCTTATAAGAATTAGAATCTATGTGAAGTGTAAAGCACAGGACCAATTACAAAGTAAGTGCTCAGTAAATAGTGATGACAACAATGATGTTGTTACTAAAGGAGTATTTCTGGGCAGTACAAATAAGACTACCAAAAAATTCCAGGCTAATGACAGGACTTGATGTAAAATAATGCAGTGGAAATTGAAAGGAAACAGTGGATGTGTGGGATGAGAAGAGGATGTTTAAGGCGACTTCAGAATTTTAAGACTGAGGAAACTGAATACTATTAAATATTATACTGAATAGGTCTGCGGGAAAGATGTGGGGCATGTATCAATCAGACAGTGATTTTGAGTGCCAGTCGGAGACCTATGTCAAAATACTCAAGAAAGAAAGAAAGAAAGGAGAGAGAGAGAGAGAGAAAGAGGAGGAGAGAGAGAGAGAGAGAGAAAGAAAGAAAGAGAGAAAGGGAAAGAGAGGAAAGAAAGGAAAGAAAGAAAGAACAAGTTTGAGAACTTAAGAGTGAGGGAGCAAGGTCAGGAACAGAAATAAGCACTGGAATTCTAGGCAGTTTCACTGTAACAGAAGTCACCATTAGGCTGTCTGAAAGTCAGGGCAAGCCACAGTGTACTTTATTTCGGCTGCACAGTGGTGGGTTTCTTCTTGTTTTTAAGAAAACTGGGAAAGTTTTGAATGGGAAAATCCTATATAAAATTTAGATTTCTGGTTTATCTTCAGAAGTTGGAAGGCCTACCAACACTTTTGGGCCAGGATTCCCTTATAAGATCAGAGGCCCCATGTGGCCTTAACTGGTCTCTGTAAGGATTTGGATTTGAAATCAATGCCCTTAAAATTTCTCACCATATTTAGAAATTCTCTTAGCTAAACTAATAGGGATATAATGGTACCACAAAGTTGTTGTGTTTGGCTTTCTTTTAATTTTTATTAGAGCTAAATATATTTCTATGTGATAATTTACTGACTGTAGTCCTCATGTTTAAGTTATCAAATAATCTCCTTTGGACATATATTGAAAGAAATCCTAATAGTAAAAAATCCACATTTCTATACATGATTGTAACAGATTTGTATAATAGGCTTTTTATCAGTTGTACAGATTTTTCAGTTGGATAAAATTAGCTGCTTACTCTTAAAAGTTTTATGTACTCAGAAGTTTATCATTGCTTAAATGCTACTATTGTTTCTTTAAATGTGATTTTTTTTAACTTAAAGAATGGCTTTTTGTGACTCTTGGCTCTTCAGGAGAGACTTGATCACTTTTCCATTAGGAAAGCAATTGACAGAGTTGTGTTATTCACAAGCAAACAAGACCAACATTAAGACACAGAATAACTCCTATTTGAAAATACTAAATTTAGGGCATTAGAGCTGGAAAAGACCTTAGAGATACTCTTTTTTATGGATGGCAAAAATTAATAACCAGAAAGTATGAGAAACGTGCCCATGTTCACCTAATAATATCAAAAGGAAAATCTTCTCATTTAAAAATAAGTTTCATCACAGAGTAGGTAACAGATGACTTCTAATTTCCTTATTTTGACAACACATTTTCCTTGCTCCTAGTGTCAAGTACTCATCCCTGGTGGCACTTGCCTTCATAATTCGTCCCACAGCTTTGATTCCATGGATACCTTTACTCTTCAGACATTTCTGGCAAGAACAGAGAAAGCTTGATCTTATTCTACATAAGTTCTTACCTATAGGGTAAGTATAATACACTCTATTTGAGTAGCCTGTAAATTCTATATTATAAAAAGATTTCATATCTTTTAGTCAGTTGTATATTCTAATGTCAATGAAATTGTCAGGCTAAGGAAACAGTATTTTCAAATTTGTATTTTATAATTTTCACACTAAAGATTCTGATCAACTATAAGTTTTAATTTTAAATACTTGGAAATTTTTCTAATTTAGAACTTTCTTATGTTTTATTTCCCAAATACTTTTCAAATACATTTTGGAGATATTTAATTCTTTTATATTTGTATTGGACTTTATAATGTGTATATTCACACATTATCTCATCATTTTTACAATGCTTGGATGTAGCCAATGTGTTATTTATAGAGATAAAATGAGTTTGGAGAAATGGTTGATGTGATAGAACTGGGGTTGAAATCTAGGACATGTAACTGCATTTCGAGCTCCTTTGTCCTAACTAGCAAAATATACAAAATAGGTATTTATTTGTGTATTAATGCATTCAGACTCTTAGAACAGTGGTTGTTTTAATAGTATTCATTCTGTACAAGTATTTTTTTAGCAGCAATTAACAAGGACTAAATTATCTGATGGCTAAGTGGCCATTGTTGTCACTATTCATATCTACTAACATTGTTTTTATTGTATTATATTCGCTCAGCAAGTAGTTATATAATCCTAGCATGTTCCGGGTATTTTTCCAGATGCTGGAGATAGAACAATTTAACAAAATTTAACATTTAATCTACTTGATAATAAAGTCCCTACTCTCATGAAGTTACATTCCAGTGAGAGGAGACAGACAAGTCAAAACATATGAGTAATATATATTGGTCTAGTGACACTAAGTGTTCAGGGGTAAATGATCAGAGATAAGGGTAGAATGTGAGTGTAGGGAGAAGAGGTATTTTTTTTAGAGGGTAGAGAAAAGCAATGTGATATTCTGACATAGTAGCCAAAACCTAAACGAACTGGAGAAGTGACACTTGTAGATATTCTACGCAAGTGCTTAGACCATAATGGAGGATGTTTGGTATTGTCAAGGAGCAGCAAGGAGACCAGTATAGTTAAAGGGGACTGAGCTTAGGGAATGTGACAGTGACATTAGAGAGAGAACAAGGGGGCCTCCCTGGTGGTGCAGCGGTTGAGCACTGGGTTGCGAAGCTGCCCAGCGGCCTCTGCAGCACCGGTTCGATCCCCGGCTGCTCCCCGGCCACCAGAGGAGGGTCCCACATGGCGCGCAGACCTCTCCTGCCGCCCGCTGCTCCCCTCAGCAGTGTACTTCAGTCCTTCTGCCTGCTCTGCTCCCCGCTCTGGCTCTGGTGAATTCTCTCACCCTCCCGCGCTTCTGACTGTACCCAGTGCATGTATAAACAAACCAAAAAAACAAACAAACAAACAAATAAATAAAACATGCCTCTAAATAAAAAAAAAAAAATTAGAGAGAGAACAAGGACTGAGATCAGAAAGTCTTACACTAACAGATAAAGACTTTTTACTTTCATCGGCAGTATGATCTGTTTATTAATTCAACAAGAATTTTAATCTACTTGGTATCCAGCATTTGAGGATTCAAATGAGTAAGATACAGCGCCTCTTCCAGATTAAAAGTTGGGGGTAGGAGAGTGTGGAGCGATATACTACTAGTTTTTGTTCAGCATGATAAAGTGTTCTAATATAGGTGTTAATGAAAGGAGACTAAAGAGCATAATTCAGCTTACACAGGGGATTTTAGTATAAGGCTTATAAAGTACATGATGATTCAAATAACATCAAAAATGAATCTGTCAGACTCAAGGCACAGGGAAGCACCCAGCAGATGCACCTTATTTAGACAGGGAATTCTGCGTGTGTCCAGACCTCACCAAAGCTGCTTTTTGGAACTGAGAAAGGGCTATCCCCACAATCAGAGGTGAGCTGAAGGCCCCCACAAGCCAGGCCCGGCCTGGCAGTGAGTCAGAGCCCAGAGGGGGATCCAGCAATTTGGAGCCCAGCGGGCAATCCAGCCACTGCCAGAGCAGTCTGTGGGACCTCAAGACCCACCTCTGGAATTGAACAAATACAAAAGGAGAAGATTTTCAGGGACAGCGACCCATTAACATATCCATACCACCACTGCCCTACTGGACTTCTGGTATAACAATATTAGACTCGATTGGACCACCATTTCCTGACATCCCAGAAAGAGCACACCAAAGAGATGCCGGCTAGTACCAGCGACACAGTGTCCCAATGCATAGGACAAATTAGAAAATGAGCAGCAGAGAGAAGAAAAATTACAAGCAACCAGGCATGGCCCCAGAGAAAAGACACACCACAAACACCAGAATGCAACAACAGTGACTTAGAGGAACTGATGAGTCTTCACGATAGGGAATTTTAAATCGCCATGATTAAAAAACTAAAAGAAGTCGAAAATGATGTGGGAAAAATAATCAATGATCAGAAGAATGAAACTGAGTCCCTAAAGAGGGAAGTGAAAGAAATGCAGGAGATCAAAGGATTAATGGAGGAGCTAAAGAACTCTGGAAAAGCAATGAAAGCAGAATACATGATATGGAGAACGAGTAAGTACTCTCGAAGACACAGAAATAAAAAGAACCGGGCCTCCCTGGTGGCGCAGGTGGTTGAGCACCGCACTGTGAGGCTATCTGCAGCCTCTGCCGCACGGGTTCTATCCCGGCTGGATATGGCAAGAATCCAACATGGCGCGGCAGGCCTCTCCAGCCTTGCCCGCTGCTCCTCTCAGCAGTGTATTTCGTCAGTCTGCCTGTTCTGTTCCCTGCCCTGTCTCTGGTGAATCCTCTCACCCTCCCGCGCATCTGGCCAGTACCCCAGTTCTTGTATAAATAAATAAAATCTTTAAAAAAAAGGAAATATGAAGAACCAAAACAGAAAAGGAAAGAGAAGTACAAAGGAAAAAGAATGAAGAAAGACTTCAGGAACTATCTGACTCCATGAGGAAAGAAAATATAAGAGTTATAGGAATCTCAGAAGGAGAGGAAAGAGACATAGGAACAGAGAAAATATTCAAGGAAATAATTGAAGAGAACTTCCCAAACACAAAGAAGGAGCTCTGAAAAGACATACAATAAGCAAGAAGAAAACCAAGCTTCCACAATGAAAGGAAAAATACAGCAAGACACATAATAGTAAAGCTCCCAAGAAGTAAAACTATCACTATTCACAGATGATATAACCCCAAAAATTCCACAGAAAAACTAATCAAACTAATCAATCAGTTTAGTAAAGTAGCAGAATACAAAATCAACACACAAAAATCAGCAGCCTTCCTATACACAAAAAATAAATCTGAAGAAGAAGAAATCAAGAAAACCATCCCTTTTATTAATGAAACAAAAAAAATCAAATACTTGGGAATAAACCTAATAAAAGAGGTAAAGGACCTATGCAAAGAAAACTATAAAATACTGTTAAAAGAAATAGAAGAAGACACAAAGAAATGGAAAGGCATCCCCTGCTCATGGATTGGAAGAATAAACATTATCAAAATGGCCATCTTACCAAAAGCAATCTACAGATTCAATGCTATTCCAATAAAAATTTCAATGGCATTCTTCAAAGAAATAAAACAAATATTGATGAAATTCATATGGAGCCACCAAAAACCCTAAATAGCCAAAGCTCTCCTGAAAAAAAAAAGGAAGGGAATAGAGGTGTCACACTCCCAGACCTCAAACTATACTACAAAGCCATAGTAATCAAAACTGCATGGTATTTATACAAGAACAGACACATAGACCAGTGGAACCAAATAGAAAATCCAAAAATAAACCCACAGATTTAAGGTCAACAAATTTTTGACAAAGGAGCAAAGAATATGCAATGGAGCTAAGAAAGTTTGTTCAATAAATGGTGCTAGAAAAACTGGGTTGCTACATGCAAAAGAATGAAGCTTGACTACTACCTCACAATCATGCACAAAATACAACTCAAAATGGATTAAAGAACTAGACATAAGACCTGAAACCATAAAATACATAGGACATATAGGCAAAACACTACATGCCATACACCTCAGTAATATCTTTAAAGACACATCACCCAAAGCAGTGATAGTGAAGGCAAAGATAAACAGCTGGGACTACATCAAATTAAAGAGCTTCTGCACAGCAAAAGAGACAGTAACCGAAACAGAGACACCCCAAAGATTGGGAGAAAAATTTTGCACACAACACTAATGATAAAGGACTTAGCACAAAAATCTACAAAGAGCTGATGAGACTCAACAAAAACAAAGTAAATAACCCAGTCAAAAAATGGGCAGAAGAGCTAAAATGAAACTTCTCCAAAGAGGAAATGCAAATGGCCAAAAGACATATGAAAAAAATGTTCAACATCACTTGTAATCAGGGAAATGCAAATCAAAACTACCATGAGATACCATCTTACACCAGGGAGAATGGCACAAATTAGAAAAACTAGTAACAACAAATGTTGGCGAGGATGTGGAGAAAAAGGAACTCTTTTGCTGGTGGGAGTGCAAACTGGTCCAACCACTATGGAACGCTGTGTGGAGATTCCTCAGCCTGCTAAAGATAGAGCTTCCATATGATCCAGCAATTCCACTCCTAGGTATTCACCTAAAGGACACAGAAACATTCATTCAAAAGGGGACCTGCACCTATATGTTTATAGCAGCACTGTTTACAATAGGTAAGATATGGAAACCACCCAAATGCCCAAAAATAGATGACTGGACCAAGAAGATGTAGTACAATGGAATTCTTGTGGTAATACAATGGAATATTACTCAACAGTCAAAAAAGATAAACTCATGCCATTTGCAGCAACATGAATGGAGCTGGAAAGGATCATGCTCAGCAAAATAAGCCAGACAGAAAGAAAAAGAAAAATACCGATGGTCTCACTCATAGCAGGAATTTAGAAAACCTAAATAAGAGACCAGGAAAAAACCTAATTATAATAAAGTAAAAATCAAAATCAACAAGCAGCTATAAACCAGAGACACACTACGGGGGGGGCGGGGGGTGAACAGGAGGGAATAGGATCAAAAGAAGGGGGGTGGGAATTGTATGGAGACTATAACCAAGATGAAAACTGATGTAAAAAAATCTATGTAATTAAAAAAAATTTAATTAAAAAAAAAGAATCTGTCTCAGGCACAGGAATCAATAATGCTTAAAGCTGGAGAGGCCTGAAGTAGCCTACTAATTTAGATCAAAATGCTTATCTTTTTTATTCTGAAGTAAAATATAGGAAAGACTAAATGAGATCATAAATATGGAAGTACTAGACAGTATTGTAATGAATGTACTACAGAGTGCAAAAAAATGGTTAGATCTCATATAAAATAAGTCAAGGAAATTGGATACATACAACATGATTCCATTTGTGTAAAATTTAAAACACGCAAAACTCATCCATGTTATTACAAATTAGGATAGCAGTCATCTTTGGAAAGGAATTGGGGAGATATGGGGAGCCTTTGGAAGTGCTGCTAATCCTGATCTAGTATAATGGTTACACAGCTGTGTTCATATGGTGATAATTTTTGAAAGCTTATAGTGTACCTTTCTATATGGGTGTTAGTAGTAGGCAGCCTCTGATGTGGCCTCCACTAAGCCCATTCTCTTGATATTCATGGCCTTGTACAATCCCCTTGAGTGTCACCTGGCTATATTAACTCAATTCTAACAAACATAACAGAGGGGATCGCTTCTGTAATTGGGTTAAAACAACTGTGGCTTTCATCTTGGTAGCTCTCTTGCTCTTGCTCTCTCACTCTTCTTCCCCGCCCCCCCCAACTACTTCAGGTAAGCCAGGTGCCATGTCACGCTTTAATCTCAAAGAGATGGCCCTGCCCAAAACTGTGAATGAGCTTGGAGGCAAATCTCCTCACCACCCCCAATCAAGCTTTCAGTCGAAACAATAGCCCCAACCACACAGAAACAGTGATACAGTAAATATTAGTAGTTTTAAATTGTCATATTTTGGGGTGATTTATTATGTAGCAGTAGATAATAGAGTGTTCATTACCTTTATTTACTTGTATACAGATTTTCATCGTGAAAGACCTTTCAAAATGTCTAAATTTATATTCAGTTAATGAAATCATAAAAGCACTTTAAAAGTGGCTTTGTAAAGTTATGGCACTTGTAAAGTTATATGCCAATACTGGATTTTTAGTAAGTTCAGAGTATTAATTACTACTTTTATTTTTCAGATTTGTCACTCTGAGTTTGTCTCTGATAATTGATCGTATTTTTTTTGGTCAAGTAAGTAAAGAGATATTAAACTATTATTAATTTAATCATGTATTACACTGAAGCTTCAGCCAGTCTCTTTAGTCTATGAATATTGGAGAATATAGGCAAGTCATTCTATAAAAAATAAGGGACACATTAAAAAAAAATACTAGCAGGGGCCTCCCCGGTGGCCCGAAGCGGGGCAGCGAAGCTGCCTGCATCCTCTGCAGTGCTGGTTCAATCCCCAGCTGCTGGGCGAGGGTCCCACATGGTGTGCAGACCTCTCCTGCTGCCCGCTGCTCCCCTCAGCAGTGTACTTCGGTCCTTCTGCCTGTCTGCTCCCCGCTCTGGCTCTGGTGAATTCTCTCACCCTCCCGTGCTTCTGTCTGTACCCATGCCTTGTATAAATAAGTAAATAAATAAATCTTAATAAAAAAAAATACTAGCAGGTGTCTTGGTTCAACTTGTGATCTTTAGATAATGGTGTATTTCTAGTGGAAGTTCAAGAGTCTGTTTTAAGGCATTTTTGGTCAGGTTTATAATTTAGTTAAGGTTAAATTTTTTTAATTTTAGTTGACTTCAAGTTATCTTTCAAAATTTATATTAACCAGAATACTCTACACGCATTTGGTTTGAGATTTTAATATCATGACTATTTGGTGGTTTTTATAATTTCCTGATATTAAGTCACTCAAGGGCTCCAGAATCACACTGCCACACTTCAAAGCCTACTGCCTTTAATAATAGCTACATTATCAGACAAGTTACGTGCTTTTCTTGCCATGCAGTTTCCCTACCTGGAAATAAGGTTGGAGGATTAAATGAGGTAATACATGCAAACTACTTACAACAATGCCTAGCACAAGTGACAATTTTTTAACATTAGTTTTTGTTGCTGTTATGATTAGTCTACATTGTGCTATAATTAGAATTATAATGGTTTTGAAGCTTTATTTTAATAGGTAACGTGATATTGTAAGGTACCAGTTTAAAATTTTTAGTAAGGGTACACCACACTCTCTTGAAAATTATTTTTAAGGATTCTTTTTTTTTTTTGATTTATTTATTTATACAAGCACTGGGTACAGTCAGAAGCGCGGGAGGGTGAGAGAATTCACCAGAGTCAGAGCAGGGAGCAGAACAGGCAGAAGGACAGAAGTACACTGCTGAGGGGAGCAGCCGGCAGCGAGAGGCCTGTGCACCATGTGGGACCCTCCTCCAGCGGCCAGGGAGCAGCCAGGGATCCAACCAGTGCTACAGAGGCTGAGGATAGCTTCGCAACCCAGCGCACAACTGCTGCGCCAGCAGGGAGGCCCTATTTTTAAGGATTCTTTATCTCTAATTGTATGTAAAACTTATACTGTTAAAATATGTATAAATCTTGATTCTTTAATGTCAAAAGCCTAGTGTCCTACAAATTAACTAAGAACACATTACTACTTTAAACATTAAAAAACTCTGAAACTTAAGACAACAAAAAAATAATTCATGATCATTAATTAAAATTACTACTATAAGCTATTACCTGATTTTTTAGACTTTATTCCTGATATTTTAATGTCAAAATTCTCCCATATTCCCTAATGCCAAAGTTCATACTTGGCACTAACACATTTCTGTTTTTTTTTTCCTTCAATTATACCAGTGGACTTTGGTTCAATTTAATTTTTTGAAATTTAACGTGCTGCAGAATTTGGGAGCATTTTATGGTTCTCATCCATGGCATTGGTACTTCAGTCAAGGATTTCCAGTTGTCTTGGGTACTCACTTACCCTTCTTTATTCATGGCTGCTTTCTAGCCCCAAAGAAATACCGGATACTTTTGGTGACTGTGCTGTGGACACTGTTAGTTTATAGGTAAGATTTTTATTTATTCCAAGTTTTTTTAATGTTACCTACAAATTAAGTTGATTACCTACATTCTTCAAAGAGTAAACTACCTTTTGGAGATGCATACATAAACTCTTATGATTTGTTAGTGAGGCTTGTTTAGTAAAGTAGTAATTATGGTGATGCTCAGCTATAATGAAGATGTTTGATATGTGTAGTTTGCTTAACAAGGATTACATTTAACTTTTAAGAAGTTGAACAGAAACTACCAAAAAAAAAAAAATACTACAGAAACTGCCAAAATTTTAAGTATTGAAGGACCAGAGGAATATTTTTAAATGAAAACATATGCATCTTTATCCCAAATTTGAATAATATTGTTTACTTGGATTAGTAATAAATTTCTTTAGAGTGTAACTTACTTTAGAATTGCATATTTACATCAGATGTTAGAATTACTTTTAACTGATCATCTTGTAACTAAAAAGTAATGAGACTGACTACTAAAGCATAAAATTCAGTGTCAATACTTACAAAAACAGGTGTTAATTATACTTTATTTTTAATTATACTTTATTTTAAATGCATTAACTTCTCAAAGTGTCATTGTGATGTGAAAAAATAATATTCTCTTAATCTTTATTATAGCATGTTGAGTCACAAAGAATTCAGATTCATCTATCCAGTTTTACCATTTTGTATGGTGTTCTGTGGTAAGTATTTTTTTCAATATTTACATAGAAGTTAATTAAGACAATGTCATTCAGCTTTAAAATATGATTTTCAACTAGGCCAAATGAAAATTGCTTCTTAATTACAAATTAATTTTACTACAGTATTCCCTTTTCACAGGCTATCCCTTTTCTGTGTCCTGTGAGTTAAAAATTGTTTCCAATAGCCAAAGCATCTTTTGGTGATTGCTTTTCTAGCTGTTTGAAATCTCTTTAAAAGTAAAGAATATATGTGAAGAATATATTTTAAAGTGGCTATCTTACGGTCAAACTATGCAGTTCTTCATTTTACTAATCAAAAATATATTTATAGCTCTTAAAACTAGTTGAGTACTTTACACACTTCTGCCTCTTTAAGACTCACTCTAATACATATGCAGCTTTTAAAGCAATTCACACCTGATTATATTGTTTTAACTTTTCTCCTTTTTCCCCCTAGATCTTACAATAAGGTTTTTACACGTGACTTCTAAAAATTCTTACATTACTCTGCTCGGGAAAATCTGGACTTTTGCATTGGTTGTTTTGGGAAAATTATATACTAAAACTTTATTAACTTCAAGTTTAATTCAAAATCAATACTTACTAGCTTCCTTTGAATATTAATCACTTAAAATCACTAGTCTGGAAGAAATGAATAACCAACTGGGATTGGAGACTATGGGAAAACTATGGAGTTAATGGTTTCAAACTTTGTAGTAGTATCCAGTACCTACTTCATGTCTCAGATAATAAGTTGCTCATATATATATTTAATATGTCTTAAGTACTGAAGCCAAAGTTAATTTGTGTCATTACTTTATAATCTTATGAATATATAAAAACTATCACATATAAAAATATGGGCACCTGGGCCTCCCTGGTGGCACAAGGGGTTAAGTCTCAGCACTATCAAGCTATCAGCAGCCACTGCTCCATGAGTTCAATCCCTGGCTAGGGAGCTAACCCACATGGCACAGCAGACCTCTCCTGTCTTGCCCACTGCTCCCCTCAGCAGTGTATTTCACTGGATCTGCCTGTTTTGCTCCCCACTCTGTCTCTAGTGAATACTCTTACCGCATCTCTGGCATGCACCTCAGTTCTTATATGCATAAAATAAATCTTTTTAAAAAAAGTATAGGCATCTAATAGCTATTTGGCAAGAATGGGCCCATTTACTACAGAACAAATCTGTTCATAAATTACTTTTTATTTACAACTACTTGAATTTTAGCTGTAATTAAGCCTTGATGCTGCCCAGATGCACATTGCTGTTCTACTAGAAAACAGTATTTATATTTGTGGTTTATGTATGTTTAAGTGTGCACACACACACGTTTTCTTTGGTTTGGTGAATCTGAGAACTTGGTTTCATTTGAGGGTTTTTCCAGGTTCCACTGCTCCAGCCTGTTTTATTTTATAGTGTTTTAGAGAAAGATAGTTGTTTCAATCCTTATTTCTACTCCTAAAGATCAAGATAAAATGTTGGTGAGGGTTGAATAGACCCCTTTCCAGTGGGCAAGAATCACTCTCTTTTCTGTGTATCTACTCAGAAGGAGCCCTAAAGGACTGCAACGGCAAAAACCTATTCTCATGGGATATCATCTTGACTGCCATATACATATATACCTAAGGTTCTTGAGCCAGAAGATCAATTCCCAGGAGAATTATACTACCACTAAAAGTCAGAACTTTAATGCCAGCAGATATCAAGTAGTTAGTCGAGTAGGAAGCCCACCTAGACAGAAGTCTCTGGATATTCAAGAACAGTCCCAAACAATAGTTTTCTTTGGAATTTCTGGTGTTTTAAACAGTCCAATTTGAATTTTTTCTATTTACCTGAAATCTTGATTTATATTGCACCTCATCTTTTCTTCTATTCTTGTATGACCGATTTTAACCTGGATTTCTATAACAAATCTACTGGCAATTGCTATGTAATAACTGGCAAAACTTAGTGGCTTAAAACTACATTTCTTGTTACTTAGTACTCAATAGTTCAACTGGGCATTTCTTCTCCATTAGGCTCAATTATGCACAAATGATCAGCTGCAGATGGCACATACAGTGCCAACCTAGGGTAGGCTCCTACATTTTTGGGGTTCAGTTAGCTTTAGTTCAAAGTACCTTGCTTTTCAGTATGATGCCACCCTCCAGCAAGTTAGTTAGGGTTTATTCATTTAATTTAGGTAGGGTTTCAAGAAACAGCAAAAATGTACAAGAACTTTTGAGACCTAGGCTTAGAAATGACACTAATACCCCATTCTTTTGGTCAAAGCAAGTCAAAAAGCCAGGCCAGAATCCGAGTCAGGGATTAGATGCAAAAATAATGATTGTAGCCATTTTCTTCAATCTATAGTAACTTCTCTTGTTAATTTGAATTTCCCTCAGTCCTATCCAAAATAGGACTTAAATCTAGAAAACATACCTTCAATTGACTCTGATCCTTAGTAAACTGTATAACTTTGTGTCCCAGTTTCCTTATCTGTAAAAGAAAGGTGCCATTTGTATAATACTGAAATGCTTAGATTGAACCTGTTATTTGTGATGTTTCCAGTGTTTGCTACCAGTTCTCAGTTGGGTGTCTGTGTGATCTGATTTTACTAGTGACCATTGCAGACTTCTCTGGTTAGGCCACTTTTTCCTTCCATAAGCTTATTTTTTAGAAAAACTGCACATGAATTATTTCAAGTCATCTCTTAAAGAGCTTAAAACAAACATGGTTCCACTGTTCTCCCTCCCATTTCTCCTGTCAAAAGCAATCATACACTTTTAAAGGTGGTCATTTTGGTATCTATCTCTAAAGAAAATGCCTATAATATACTTAAAGATCTCTTGGCATTATCTATTGATTTCTCATTATAGAAGATAAAAATATAGCTTTGTTTCTTTAACAAAGTAGCAATATAAAATTCCTTCTGATACCTCCCTCAGTCTGTGCTCAGTATTCTCATTATGGTTATGAGTTCAAAATCCCTTTCCCCAGCTCCATTCTCCTATACCTTCCATCACAGAATTAAAACTCCCTTTGCTTTTCTTATGTTAATGTGAAAATTAAGTGGCACTAATAGCTTTCCCAAGGAGTATTTTAAAGTGAAAAGGTTAACTCAGATCTCAAATGGGCAGAACTGGGGGGAAAAAAAAATTAATAGTGGGTCTTCAAATAATTGTTGCCAAAACCAGAATGCAGTTGGTATTTCTAAGTTTGATGGCATCAATAATGTACACAGCTCTCAACATTCTCATCCTTTCCATTTACCTTAATCTTACCTTGGTAAGAAGGTACTCATCAGTCATTGCTGAAGAATACAGTCAGGATCGCCACTAATTATCCAAACTTTAGAAAGTGATGTGTATATCAAAAAGAAATAATACACGGTGAATAGGATATACTGCCAAGTAAAGAAGCCAAGCAAGTTTTTAGATTTTATGCTAATGAACTGGGATAAAATTAATCTAAAATTTTTTCTAACAGTATTGGTAAGAATTATTTGACTAGGGCCTCTCCCGGTGGGGCAGCAGGTTGGGCACAGTGCTGTGAAGCTGTCCGCAGCCTCTGTAGCGCAGGTTCGATTCCCAGCCAGCCAGGAAGATTACCACATGGTGCGGCAGACCTCTCCTGTCATGCCTGCTACTCCCCTCAGCAGTGTATTTCAGTCCGTCTGCCTGTTCTGCTCCCTGTTCTGTCTCTGGTGAATCCTCTCACCCTCCCATGCCTCTAGCCTACACTCCAGCTCTTATATAAAAATCAATCTTTAAAAAAAATTATTTGATTAGAACCCAGTTTATTACAAAAGCGGCATGTACTCATGCTAACAAGTATCATCCTCTAATCATCTGGCCCCATTCCATAGATAATTATCATTCTTAGAAATTCTTCCAGAAATTTTCTATATAACCACTATTAACTATCTTTTTGTAGGCCTAGATAACAGAAGCAAATTAAATATTCTAGGATGTTACTTAGCCTTGAGCAGGCAAGAGCCACTAAGATTCCTGAGAGCAAGTCATCTAGTGTCTTGCCAGGATAGGCTTTAATGTAGCTTTTTACAATTTGAGCACACAAGGTACATTAAGTTTTTGCTTGTCAACCCAAGGAAGACAAGCACTTCACTTTCACCTTGTATTTGGTGATCTGTTGTACCTCTGAGAGCAGTTACAATTGGCAGAATTTTCAGAAGATTATAGTTCCAATAAAGCTAATTAATTGTAGTTCTCATCCTTTATAATAACGTCCTCATTTTACAATTTCACAAATTATAAATTTAGATGTTTTTGTTTAAAATAGTCTTCCTTTTCTTGACCTGCATTTTCATCACACTTGTCAGAATATTTATTCACAGCTATTTCAGGTATGATGAATAATATTCCAACTACTGAATGGAATGGACTGTAGGTATGTCATCTAAAATATTCAGAGGAACAAAATTGAATAAGATTTTTTTTTTGGGCCTCCCCGGTGGCGCAGCGGTTGAGTGCTGGGTTGCGAAGCTGCCCGAGGCCTCTGCGGCGCCGGTACGATCCCCGGCTGCTCCCCGGCCACCGGAGGAGGGTCCCACATGGCGTGCAGACCTCTCCTGCCGCCCGCTGCTCCCCTCAGCAGTGTACTTCGGTCCTTCTGCCTGCTCTGCTCCCCACTCTGGCTCTGGTGAATTCTCTCACCCTCCCGCGCTTCTGACTGTACCCAGTGCATGTATAAACAAAACAAACAAACAAGCAAATAAATAAATAAATAAAACATGCCTCTATTTAAAAAAAAAAAAAAAAAAAAAGATTTTTTTTTTGTCCAAATTTGATTTTTAACAACAGGATGAAAACATTATATTCGGTCCATTTTATAATCTTCAAGGCAATTAATACAGTAAGAGAAAACCTGTAAATGCACCATAGCCAATAAATATTTAGGTATACAAGAAAAGGCATTAACCATTGCTAACAATTATAAGTTGAGAATTGAATGCCTTTAGTTAGTGTTGAATACTATGTATGATTCAGGTGAATGTCAAGTTATTCCTATTTTTCTTTGAAACAATTCTTCTTAGGCCAACTTTCTGTTAGAATAATTAAATTGCAACAGCTCAATATTCATTTTATTTACATTCAGTTACTTTTAGTTCAACCAAGCTAAGGCAGCTATAGGTAGTCAGCTAGGTAATGGTCATAGAAAACAGAGGCTTGTCCCCAGTGGGAACTGGTGTTGAAATTTCAGGTAGGCCATAGATTGGATCCTAGATACCCAGATTCCAAAAATACTATTACCTAGTTCTGTGGAGGCAATGCACATGAGTATGAAACAAGCTTATTCATTTTCAGTGGAAGAGTCTGTTCTTTTGTGGTGTTTTCAACAGATCTTAAAGCACTGGATCTTGCTGGGTAGTAAGACTATGGAAGGAGGGCAAAGACTTTCCATTTACCCTGTCCAACTTGGGGGTGAAATGGAGGAGGGGTATTTTGGGTTTTGCCACACACAAAAATTACTTCTACAAATTGAAAAAGAAAATAGTTCATCACCTCCAAATTTTACAAAACTATAGTGAAAGGAATAAAAGGACATAACTCCTTCCAAAAAAAAGACATCCCCGCCATTACTCATATTGATGAGTGAAATTCTCCCAGGAATCCAATGCTGTATTTTTTAAGAGGACACTGAGTTATACTTTGTTCAAAATTACTGAGAATTTTTTGCACACACTGAAATATCCATTACCAATGGTTTGGAGAGAGGAGATAAGTTAATGGAATAATAGGCCTATTTATTTAGCAACTACATAAACCAAGACAGGCACTGGACATACATTTTTCTAATGTTTGGAAAGGTGCTGCTATATGATTTCCAAATGGGGAAACTAATGCTTAGCAATGTAAAGCCACTTGTGCCAGAGCTAGACTTCAAACTTGAGTCTCTTGGGTTACCTCTCTAGCCACAATCTCTCCACTACCTCCATTCCTTTTTCTAGAAAAAGGGCAAGACCTATAAACAATAGACAATGATAATGATCACAGAAATTATAATCTGTTATTTGCTTGTCCCTGACAGCTTGTGCTACTTCCATGAAAAAAATCACAAATATTTATAGTTAATATTCTCTTAGCTATTGACAAAATTGCCAATATTAGGCGTCAACATGTTTATCTTCATATAGGGTACTCACTAAACCACCTGAAAACGTGGAAGAAACCAGCTCTAAGTTTCCTGTTTTTGTCAAATATGCTTCTTGCCGTCTACACTGGTTTAGTTCATCAACGAGGTACCCTTGATGTCATGACTCATATTCAAGAACTCTGTTACAACAACCCCAATAAATCTTCAGCTTCAGTATTTATAATGATGCCCTGCCACTCTACTCCTTATTATAGGTAATAAAAGCTATCTTCTATATACATTATTGAGAAAACAAAACTATTTTTAAATTCCCCTCAGATTCCTAGATTTAAATTAAATGATCACTGATCGAGTATAAAAAACTTGAAAAGCCAATTCATATTTATTCACTGATGAATTTTAAAACCATTTGAACTATGCCAATGAAAATCATGCTACTTTTAAATAACCCTTAATATTTTTTTAATTCAGCAACTTACATTTAAATTATTTGTGTTATAAAATGTTATAGATATTTGATGGTATTCTACTTAGAAAAGAAAGCATTATCACTGATCTTTACTATGGATCTTTGCAATACACCTTTTATTTTATAATATTGAATTAATCTTGAAACACTGGATTCTAGTCCAAATTTACTACTGGACTGTTGCCCTGGTACTAAACCAGTCTTTTTAATCTCTTTGAACATCAGCTGTCACACCTATAAAAATAGGAAATTCAATTAGATGATATCCTAATATTGAATTAAATGTTTCTCACAAATATAAAACACTAAAACTGTCTTAACCATCGACAGCATTTAAAAAGACATCCATTTGGCTCTGTGTATTATATTTCAGGAAACTGAATAGTTACTAATTGCCCAACAACCATATAGGACAAAACAAAAATCTTTTAGTTAAAAAAATTCTATATTTATTTAACTTAATCTGGCTTTAAACCACCTGAAAATTTTCCATGTGCACATTCAGTCAACTTAATATCAAAGGTGATTTTTAAAGTGATTTAACACTTTTGGAATACTTAACTAAATCATTAACACCAATCATTAAAATCCAATTTTCATAATTGGGATTGCCTAGCAAAAGCCACAGGCTACATGTAAGACCTAAGGTGTCGGGCCTCCCCGGTGGCTGAGCGCTGGGTTGCGAAGCTGCCCGCGGCCTCTGCGGTGCCAGTTCGATCCCCGGCTGCTCCCCAGCCACCAGAGGAGGGTCCCACATGGCGCGCAGACTCCTCCTGCCGCCCGCTGCTCCCCTCAGCAGTGTACTTCGGTCCTTCTGCCTGCTCTGCTCCCCGCTCTGGCTCTGGTGAATTCTCTCACCCTCCTGCGCTTCTGACTGTACCCAGTGCATGTATAAACAAAAACAAACAAACAAATAAATAAATAATAAAATAAAACATGCCTCTAAAAAAAAAAAAAAAGACCTAAGGTGTCCCTTCAATATGACGATCCCCTACTATATTAAAAAACTAAGACTGAGGACAGTCCTCTCTCGATGCTCACATTATTGATAACACTACAGAGAAGAGGGATTCTAGAACTACCAAGATAATTTCCATACATTATTGTAGTGTTGATGGCTTAGGCTTCGTATAGTTCACCAAATTCTCATCTTAGATTGTTTTTTTAAGTGCACAAGAGAGAAAAACTCCCATCCCTACTTTGTAATATAAAACTGGCAGTTTTTTCTCAAGTGTTTCTTTGAAAAACCTGTACTGTCAAAATAAGTCATTTAGTATTAGGTCTTGTATAAATTTACTTTGGATGCATGTCATAGATAAAGTAAACCTCTCTCACATACTTATTTCTAAAACGAGGTTTAATTTTTCCCAGGGCAAAGCTGTAAACTGGCTTTTTTGCATGGCCCAACTAACTGCCTTAAGTTGTCATGATTCATCAATACATTTTTTTTTACATATACCGTAGTCTTTTGATGCCATTATAAAACCATTACTTATTTTGCAATTAGTCAGTCAGCATGTTGCTCTCTATTACTAAATTGTATATAAATATATAAAATCCACCACCACACAAAAAAAACTTGCTGAGTGTGATCCATCCCCTTTCAGAGCAGAGAAGGGGAGAGCGCAAAACTCCTATCTGGTTCATGACCAGTTTTCTGTCTTGCCAAGTAAAACTATGAAGAACTACTCTTATGTACAAGTTACTTACCTGGTCCCAAAGGCACCTTACATTCCTGGAATAGCATACTAATAATATTAGCGGATACTGACTCCCATCCAAGCTGCTGACCTACTTCCCAGTTTGAAATGAAGTTTCATGTTTTAGTTTGAGACTTGTAGATTATGCTGCTGCAGTTGCACACATTATCAGTGTGAGAAATCAACATTCAGCTTTGAGAAAACCGCATTAAGGCTTGCTTCCTCACCTTAATTGGAACCCAGGTTCGATTCAGATTTCACATGTTGTTACATGAACATGCTATGTCTTAAATGTGGAAACTCATTTTTTTTTAAACATCTTGTAATTATAATGGTAACTTTCTTTTCCTAGCCATGTGCACAACCCGCTTCCAATGAGGTTCCTTGAGTGTCCCCCAGACCTGACTGGAAAAAGTCATTATCTTGATGAAGCAGATATATTTTATTTAAATCCCTTAAACTGGCTATATAAGGAGTTTCGCAATGATTCTACATTGCCTACTCACTTGCTCATCTTCAGCGTTTTGGAGGAGGTAAGAAAACATGAAAAAGGGGAAAATTCAGTATTTTAATTTCCACTCAGGTTTGGTGACCATTCAGGTAAACAGACAAACAAACATGTTTATAGTTCCTTTTAACCCGTGTATTTTGTAATTCATTTTATTCCCCAGTCATAAATCAGCCCTGGTTCTGTAACAATCAAGGTATATATGTTACTTACTAGAAGTTAATTCTTTAAGAAACTGCATCATAAAAAAAAGTTGTAGGGCCTCCCTGGTGGTGCAAGGGGTTAAGACGCAACCTACAAAGCTATCCGCAGCCTCTGCAGCATGAGTTCGATCCCCGGCCAGGGAGCTACCCACATGGCGCAGCAGACCTCTCCTGACTTGCCCACTATTCCCTTCAGCAGTGTATTTCAGTCACTCTGCCTGTTCTGTTCCCCACTCTGTCTCTGGTGAATCCTCTCACCTCCTGCACCTCTGGCCTGTACCCCAGCTCTTGTATGCATAAATAAATCAATCTTTAAAAAAAAAAGTTGTAGAGGAGCAATCAGAATACTGACCATTCTAAAATTTTTGAACTAGTACTCAGCAAAATGTAGTCTTTATTTACTTAAACTTTTATTTACTTATAGGAAATAAGTGCTTTCCTAATTTCCAACAACTATGAGAGAACTGCTGTTTTCTTCCATACTCATTTGCCAGAGGGACGAACTGGAAGTCACATATATGTCTATGAACGGAAGTCGCCAAAAAGGAAACTCAACAGAAGATGATGAAATTCTGAACTGTGTTTAGATCTTTCATAGAGAAACATATTTCTCGGGTAGATATTTTCAGATGCTGCTTAACTATGCTAGTAAACGTAGATTTATGGAACTAGCAGTGCTTTACTGAATATCACTACTGAGGAAATGTATGGGGGGAAAAATCACAAAATATAAAACCGCATATTAAAACAAGGCCAGATTTTAAATAAACACCTTTAGTTTTCCTCATGGTGTAGTTTTATTGTTTCTTCCACAAAATTCAGATGTGCAAGAAATTTCACAAGAGAACAAGTCAGCAAGCTCATAAGAAGGCAGCAAACTCTTCACAAGTCAACGGGCTCTTGAACCCACAAAAAGACAAGAAGCAAGTGTAAGATTATAAAATGTTAAAGATGAAATCCCATCACAATGTATTTTTTTCAAGCTCTACTGCAAATTTAAAGTATCAGTGTTAATTTACACTTTGTCATGTATGATTTGAGCTTGTTTTAAGCTCACACTGGAAGGAAGTCTCATTTCATGCACAAAATCCGATGCATGCCTAGCTTCCTAATAAAACTACAGTTGAGTATTTCCAGTGCAAAAAAGAAAATTCAGCAAAGCTAAACTACAGAAAAATGCGGGTTAGTAAGCTTTCTTTTGATGCTTCTGTATGAAGTCATCAAACTGATACTTAAAAATGATAAAAAGACATTGTTATCTTGATCATTTCATCTTAGTTTCAACACGAAACATTGTACAAAACATGTTTCTGTTACAGTTTTCTAATTTAACTTAATTATGATGGTCAATATTTAGGATCAAAAGGTAACTGCCCCAATTCTATTTCAAGATTTGCCATGTGTCTTCCATTAGTGCGACCATATTTATGCCATTTACCTTCCCTTTTATAAGGCTGTGGCTGAGGGTGCTTCTGCTCTTGTTTTCGATGCCTGGAGTTTTCAATATTTACCATACGTTGCTTTTTATCTGGTCGACTGAAAGCAGTAAACACATTTTTCATCTATGTTAGAGTTAAATTTATTTAAACAAAAAACAATATTAATGTTTTTCTCCATTAAGCTATTTCTAAACACCAAAAAAGATGTTAAATTAATCTCAAGTATAATGCTAGTATAATCATACCAAAAAGATTGCGTATCATACTTTATTCCTAGAGAATTAAAAAAAACAACTAATATAAAACTTTACTGGCGAAAAGGAAACACTCAACAGATGAAGAATAGAAATGTGACAATAAAATAATGAGATGTGTTTCCATTATTTTCCTCCTTTCCTATACAAGTCAACCCCTCCCGCATTAGCTTCCTCCCTCTGCAGGAATTTGAACACATCTCTTACAAATATAATGCTTCTGTCCCATCCACTCCCTTCTACTTCTTACACCTAAGGTTCATAAACAATGGCTATATTTACTGCTTCCCTGATCTCTGTGATTAGGTATGTCATCCCTTCACTGAAGCAGTCCATAATGCCATCCATGGCCATGACCACCCAAGCAAAGAAACATCCCCAGTTCTTTTAAGATTTGACACATTTAAATAGTACTTTTACTTTTTCATAAGAGATGCTCTAGATTTTCACACCACTCTCTGGTCTCACCTCTCTGGTCTTGTCATTCTCAGCATTCTTCACTGCAACTCCTTAGATCATGGTGCTCCCCAGCAGTCTGATCAACACCTCAGCCTTGATTATCTACGCTCACCTATGCACAGTCTTGGCTAGAAACAGCCACAGCACTAATGGCCAACTAATCCTCTCTCCCTTAACTGTCAATAGGTACCTCCATGCACAATTCTTATTGCCAATTCCCCTTCCCCAAAACCTGGTATTCCCTGTCTTGGTGACCTCACTATCCAACTAGCGACTCAGCTCAGAAATCTAGAAATCGCTGTTACTTTCTATTTCTTTCACAAGAAATACCACCAATTTTGCTGTTGTTCAAATGTTTCTTCCTTCCACACCTATCATACTTCAGCTATCATCAGCTCCTATCTGTGTTGTTTAAAAAACTAGCTTCTAGCCTCACCCTTTCTAACCAATTCTCCAGGCTACTTACAATTACTGAAAATGCAAAAAAAAACAAAAAAACAAAAAATCCAAGTCCTTTTGCATAAAGCGAAATCCTTCATGAAGTGAATCTTTTCTTCTATTCATACCCTAACAATACCCAGCCTCCTTAAAAGTGGCAGATATACACATCTCCAAGTTCCTTTTAAATGGAATAAAGTTCTCTTTGAGTGGAATGTCATACCCCATCTGCTTGGAATATTCTCATTTCTCCTTTAATATCAAGTTTTAAAAGGTACCATTCACTGGCTATTCCACTCATGAAGTCTCCCAAAGATTTCCAAATAGACTGAAACCACCTATACTATATACCTCAATACCTCCATTCCTCCATTCCATTACCTATATTTACCTAACTCTCCAACAGCTTGTGAGCTGCTTGACAGCAAGAATGTTCCATTTGTTTCCTGAGAGCAGCCTCACAGTGCTTTGCTCATTTTAAGCACTAGATACTTGTTAATGACTAAAGACACCAAAATCAGTCTCATTATTTTATAGACACATTACATTTATTCAAAAAGGTGTAAAAATATCTCAAAGGTAAAAAATAAAGTTGACATTTAAAGACTAGGCAAGTTTCCTATTACAGAATATAAAGCTGATGAGCAGCAGATACAGTTATTTTTAGAAATAATATATAAAGCACACACTAGAACTTGCTAAGTTTGCCCCTCTGATCTTTCCTCTACCTTAATCCATATTCTGTAATAAATGTATAATTTAGTTGGTAAGTACAACAGACAAAAGTGGGACATCCAAATTGTAATATATAAAAGCTTTTAATTTCAGAGTGAAATCTATGTCATTTATTCTTAGCTTCCTAAGGTGAGTAAATAAAAATTAATGGAAAATAATTTCATTTAAGGTGATTATGTTTTCATATAAAATATAACAAAAAAGATTAAAGTAAGATTTACATATCCTTAACTATTTTAAGATAGAAATAAAGCCATTTTTCTCAAGTCAAATTGGTTATATGAAATTTTCAGTTTGTAATAGCTACTAAAAATTGTATCTTTCAATTTATTCTAAATTCTCAGTGGCAATAAAGTATGTCCTTTACAAACAGTAACATTCCAAGAAATGTATCAAATGATAAGAATGCTAACCAATCAATAAATGTTAAAAACTATTATAACATGGTGCTATATAAACCGACCTGGGTCCATATGGAGGGGAAAAAGTGTGACCAAAGAAGTGTCTATATATATATCCATCCAACTTCTCAAACACTCCATCATTATCTACTTGATATTCCTTCATGTCTTTAAGATAATCTTTAACATCATTAACAAAGTCAGTGAAGAGCTTCTGATCATGTATAAAGATACCATTTAGGAAAAACTTATCGATGAATTGATTGAGTTCCTTCCAATGATGAAAATTATCCAGTTTGTCTAATAAATACCTTTCAACTAATTGTCTAAATTCATTTATCCCTACAGGACTCAACATTTTAACATTAAAAGCGTTGATGGATTCCTGTCGAGCACATTCAAATACACCAGAACAAGTCTTTCTGAATGAATTTTCATTACATTCATGCTTAGCACTGCATTTCTGCGAATTTGTATTTTTTCCAAATTCTTCAAAGTGAGTTTTTTCTTTCCTCCCCTCTCTTTGCACAGTAGGGCCTCTACTATTCTGATTTTGTGCACGTGCCTTATACTGTGGATGTAAATATTCACTAAAAACTGTTGGTTTTTTAGCTGATTCTTCTTTTGTAGCACCAAATCTTTTGTTGCCCTTTTCATCAAAGATATTCTTAGTGGTGTCTTTGAAATGCCTAAAAGTGGATTTAACTGAATCTGAGAACTTTTTCAGATTTTCTTTCACAGCTTCTTTAGCCTGTTTAATTTTTTCTTTATGGTGCCTCACAAACTCCTTGGTAGAATTTTTCATGGCATCAAACGTTTCCTTAACTGAGCCCAAAAATGTTTCCTTTGACTTATTTTTAGCCCTGTGGTTTCCTCTGCTGCCTTTTTTTTTCCCATCAGTTTCTTTTTTTCCATTTTGATCTTTTGCCTCAATATACAGTCTTTCCCACAAATCAGAACGCTGCTGTTCAAAGTTTAGCTTCCTCTCCAGCTCAGTGAGTCGTTCTCGTAAGGTTTCTATTTCCTTTTTCTCGGTCAATATATTGGAAGAGTCTGTGTTGCCATAAGACTGGCTAGAGCTTAACTGCTGGAGTTCTACTCTTAAAGCCATGGTGATTAGCCGTTCTCTCTCCAATTCCCTCCTCAGCATCTTTGCTTCTGCCAGTAGAGTCTCCCTTTGATTAAGGAAACTGTGTGTTTTCAGCTTTTCTTCTTCCAAATGCTGCTTAAGTTTCTGATTTTCTGTAACTAACTCAGTACTTGTCCCTTTATCTTCCAAAATCGCAATCTGTTCTCTTAGTTTCCTTAGCTCTTCTTGTAATGAAGATAAGGCTTTTTCTTCCTTTTCCAGAGATATCCTTAAATACTGATTTTCTGTATCAAGGTTGTTTCTCTGAGTTTCAAAGGACAGCTTTTCTGCTTCAGTAAGGGTCCAACACTTTGCAAGGTTTTCCTTTAATGACTAAATATATTTAGAGAAAAGAAAAATGTCAAGCTCTTTAAAAGTTGAATTTAAATCTTTAAGATATAACAAATATTCCATAAATTTTCAGTGTCTGTTTTGACAGAGACCATCCATTGTGTAATAATATATAAAAACTGGAAAATACGAGTTTTCACAGGGAATAAAATACACAGCAGAGACCTACATCAAAATAAGAACATCGCAGCTGGGAAAATTTCAGGATAGGAAAAAATTAATTAAAATTCAGTTTATCCCTAATCAAGATTTTAAAAATACAGATGGAGTACTTCTGATTAGTGTTTCCAATAAGCATGAAATCTTTATTGGTTTCCAAACCCATATATATAAATTAGGAGAAAGGGAAATGGATCTTCTATATTTTCACTAACAACTCCAATCTCTTCTGAGAAGGCTTCCTAGAGAGAATTTAGGCAGGACTATGAGCTTTTCTGATCCTTGGGAAAGAGAGATCACATTTTATAAAAAGTAAAATTAAAGCTAGAGACGATTTCAGGCATCAAAAAATTCTGTTATAAAGTTTATAACATTTATAACATTTATAAATACATGTTTATATACAAATACACAGAAACAGT